ACGTGTGCACCTCAGTCAACACCACCATCATCTGGATCTACTGTTCCATGTAGTCCAACAACAAACGTTGTCCCAGACACAACTCCTTCTGTTGTTACAACCGTGACACCACCACCAAGCAGTAAGAACCCTCCACCTCCAGAAACACCTCCTCCATGTGGTGGTTCTTCTACAGGTCAACCAGGAGCTCCCTGCAGCAGTTCTACAGCTTCAACACCTCCACCTACAACCAAAATCATTCCCATAGAGACAACAGTTCCACCATGTGGTTCGAGCAGTCCATGCAGTCCTCCAGTCTCTGAACAGACCCCTGCACCAACAACGAAAGTAATCCCAGTTCCCGATGGTGTTACCTGCAGCCCAGGGACTTCACCTGGATCAGGACCAATACCTTGCTCAACGCCACCACCTTCCACCGTGACAACTCTTACTCCTCCACCAAGCACAAAGGTCGTCTCATCTGCAGAAACATGTGCACCTGGTGTTACACCATGTGGCTCCGTGACACCTGCACCAGAGGCTCCCTGCAGTTCTACAACGCCAGTTACCAAAACAACCCTGACAACTGCTCCAGTGTCTAAAATTAGCACGGTCAGTGAATCACCAGCACCAGGTGGCTCTACAAGCCCATGCAGTCCACTTACTCCACCTCCTACTACAAAGATATCTCCACCTTCAACAGTTGTTCCTTGCAGCAGTCCAGATGTTACGCCACTAATCACAGACTTGACACCCGCCTGTTCTACTCCTTCAATATCAACAACTGCAACCCCAATTCCAACCACAAAGATCATCACTGAAACGGCACCGCCAAGTGGGAGTGAAACGACACCCCCACCATGTGGATCTACAGGTCCATGCGGTTCAACACCTCCACCTGGTACAGGCATAACCACAATCAGCACGTCAACCCCTGTGTCCAAGTCAACACTGACACCACCTCCAATCACTAAAGAGATACCTCCTGTTGTAACAACCTGTCCACCTGCATCTACAACGCCTGTGACTGGCCCGACAGCTCCATGCAGCCCAACAACAACATCTGGACCTGAGACAACACCTTATGGTAGCACAACACTGGTCACAACACCAATTACTAACATCATTTCCACGACGCCTCCTAGTGGTTCTACAATTTCTTGCAGTCCCACATCTTCAGCTGTACCAACAACAAAGTTGGTGTCAACTACTGGAATCCCAATTTGCAGTACGCCTGTTACACCCCCAGTAACAGACGTAACACCTTGCTCCACAAATCCACCTCTCACAAAATCAACTCTGACTCCACCACCAGACACCAAAGTCACCTCAATTATTACAAGCACCTTACCAACAACACCTCCACCATGTGGGCCGACAGGGCCCTGTAGTCCAACACCAACGCCTGTGCCTGGCTCAACTCCATGCAGTACGGAAATGCCTTTCACAACGACCAAAGTGACCCCACCCCCATCCACAAAAGTAATCCCTACGACCGAAATAACATGTTCACCAGGATCACCAGTTCCTTCACCTGGATCTACGGTACCATGTAGTCAAACTACATCTGGACCTGGCACGACAACACCATCACCAACAACCAAAGCTGTAACAAGCATACAAGAGACAACGCCTCCTCCATGTGGATCTACAGGACCTTGCAGTTCCATATCAACAGCTGCACAAGAAACAACCCCATGCGGTGGTGACACATCATTCACCAAGACCACACTAACGCCACCACCTACCACTAAGTCCATAATATCAGAAACACCAGCTCCATGCGGATCAACCGTTCCTTGCAGTTCTGCATCTGGACCTACACCATCACCCACCACAAAACAAATTCCAGTCACTGATATCGTGACGTGTAGCATCCCAGAGACAACACCTGGGTCAGCCACGACACCTTTCACCAAGACAACTCTAACACCACCACCAACAACGAAAAATGTTCCTATCACAGAAACATGTGCACCTCAACCAACACCACCATCATCTGGATCTACAATTCCATGTAGTCCAACAACAAGCGTTGTCCCAGATACAACTCCTTCTGTTGTTACAACCGTGACTCCACCACCAAGCAGTAAGAACCCTCCACCTCCAGAAACACCTCCTCCATGTGGGGGTTCTTCTACAAGTCAACCAGGAGCTCCCTGCAGCAGTTCCATAGCTCCAATTACTCCACCTACAACCAAAATCGTTCCCATAGAGACAACAGTTCCACCATGTGGTTCGAGCAGTCCATGCAGTCCTCCAGTTTCTGAGCAGACCCCTGCACCAACAACAAAAGTAATCCCAGTTCCCGATGTGGTGACCTGCAGTCCAGGGACTTCACCTGCAACAGGGCCAATACCTTGCTCAACACCACCACCTTCAACGACTCTGACTCCTCCACCAAGCACAAAGATCGTCTCAACTCCAGAACCATTCGCACCTGGAGTTACCTCATGTGGCTCTGTTACACCTGCACCAGCGGTTCCATGCAGTTCCACAATTCCTGATACCAAGACGACCCTGACAACTGCTCCAGTGTCTAAAATAAGCACGGCCAGTGATTCACCAGCACCATGTGGCTTTACAAGTCCACTTACTCCACCTCCCACTACAAAAATATCTCGTCCTGCAACAGTTGTGCCTTGCAGCAATCCAGATGTTACGCCACTAATCAAAGACTTGACACCTGCCTGTTCTACTCCTTCAATCTCAACAACTGCAACCCCAATTCCAACCACAAAGATCGTCACTGAAACGGCACCGCCAAGTGGGAGTGAAACGACACCCCCACCATGTGGATCTACAGGTCCATGTGGTTCAACACCTCCACCTGCTACAGGCATAACCACAATCATCACTTCCACGCCTGTCTCCAAGTCAACACTGACACCACCTCCAGTCACGAAAGAAATCCCTCCTATCGTGACAACCAGTCCACCTGCATCTACAACTCCTGTGAGTGGTTCTACAGCTCCATGCAGCCCAACAACAACATCTGGACTTGACACAACACCTGTCAGTGGCACAACGCCTGTCACTAAACCACCCATTTCAACAGCTATTACGAAAGAAATTACCACCATATCTCCATCCAGTCCTTCAAATCCATGCAGTGCTACTTCATCAATTATTTCAACCACAAAGGTTGACTCAACTACAGGTATTCCAATCTGCAGCACAACCGTACCACCTCCTGTAACAGACACAACAACTGGATTCACCTCACCACCTCCCACGAAGTCAACTCTGACTCCACCACCAGACAGTAAAGCTACCACTGGTGTTACAAGCTCCTTACCAACAACACCTTCACCATGTGGGCCTTCAGGGCCTTGCAGTTCAACACCAACGCCTGTGCCTGGCTCTTCTCCATGCAATACGGAAACCCCCTTCACAACGACCAAAGTCACTCCACCTCCATCCACAAAAGTCATCCCTCCTACTGAAATAACAAGTGCGCCAGGATCACCAGTTCCTTCACCTGGATCTACGGTACCATGTAGTCCATCAACATCTGGACCTGGCACAACAGCACCACCAACAACCAAAGCTGTAATAAGCATACAAGAGACAACGCCTCCTCCATGTGGATCTACAGGCCCTTGCAGTTCCATATCAACACCTGGACAAGACACAACGCCTTGCGGTGGTGACACATCATTCACCAAGACCACACTAACGCCACCGCCTACCACTAAATCCATAATAGCAGAAACACCAGCTCCATGTGGCCCAACCATTCCATGCAGTTCCGTATCTGGACCTACACCGTCACCCACCACAAAACAAATTCCAGTCACTGATATCGTGACGTGTAGCATTCCAGAGACAACACCTGGGTCAGACACAACACCTTTCACCAAGACAACTCTAACACCACCACCAACAACGAAAAATGTTCCTATCACAGAAACATGTGCACCTCAACCAACACCACCATCTTCTGGATCTACAGTTCCATGTAGTCCAACAATAAGCGTTGTCCCAGATACAACTCCTTGCGTTGTTACAACCGTGACTCCACCACCAAGCAGTAAGAACCCTCCACCTCCGGAAACACCTCCTCCATGTGGTGGTTCTACTACTTGTCAACCAGGAGCTCCCTGCAGCAGTTCTACAGCTCCAACACCTCCACCTACAACCAAAATCATTCCCATAGAGACAACAGTTCCACCATGTGGTTCGACCAGTCCGTGCAGTCCTCCAGTCTCTGAACAGACCCCTGCACCAACAACGAAAGTAATCCCAGTTCCTGATGGTGTTACCTGCAGCCCAGGGACTTCACCTGGATCGGGACCAATACCTTGCTCAACGCCACTACCTTCAACTTCTGTAACTCCTCCACTAAGCACAAAGGTCGTCTCACCTCCAGAACCATGCGTACCTGGAGTAACACCAAGCAGCTCTGTTACATCTGCACCAGAGGCTCCCTGCAGTTCCACAACGCCCATTACCAAGACAACCCTGACAACTGCTCCAGTGTCTAAAATTAGCACGGTCAGTGAATCGCCAGCACCAGGTGGCTCTACAAGCCCATGCAGTTCACTTTCTCCACCTCCTACTACAAAGATATCTCCACCTTCAACAGTTGTGCCTTGCAACAATCCAGATGTTACGCCATTAATCAAAGACTTGACACCTGCCTGTTCCACACCTTCAATCTCAACAACTGCAAATCCAGTTCCAACCACGAAAGTCATCACTGAAACAACACCGCCAAGTGTGTCTGAATCCACAGTTCCCCCATGTGGATCTACAGGTCCATGTGGTCCAACACCTCCACCATCCAGCCCCACAACACCATTCACAAAGACAACGCTGACTCCACCTCCAGTCACTAAAGAAATCCCTCCTGTTGTGACAACTTGTGCACCTGGATTAACAACACCTGGAAGTGGCCCCACAGCTCCATGCAGCCCAACAACACAACCCGGACCAGACTCCACACCTTGTTCTGGCAGCACAACACCTGCCGTGACACCAATCCCTCAAATACTCTCTACCATAGTTGAGCCACCTCCATGTGGATCTTCTCCTTCATGCAGTTCCACATCTACAGTTACACCGACAACCAAGTTGGCCTCAACCACTGGTATTCCAATTTTCAGTAGTCCGGTGACCCCACCCGTACCAGATACAACAGCTCCATGCACAACACCACCTCCAACGAAACCAACTCTGACTCCACCACCACCAACGCAAGTCATAACTAGCACAGGCATACCACCTCCATGCGATTCTTCTCCTTCATGCAGTTCCACGTCTTCAGTCACTCCAACAACGAAGTTAGTCTCCACCACTGGAATTCCAATTTGCAGCAGTCCGGTGACACCACCAGTATCAGATGCAACAACTGCATTCACAACACCACCACCGCCTCCCACAACATCAAATCTGACTCCACCACCACCAACGATAGTCGTAACTATCACCGGTATAACAAGCACACCACCACCAACATCTCCACCATATGGACCCTCAGGACCTTGCAGTTCAACATCTGCCCCTGTATCCGACACAACTCCCTCAACCAAATCCACACCGAAACAATCACCTAATTATAACATTATCTCGAATAACGTTGTAAGCGACTCAAGCTCGTCCATTGTTTCTAGTCAGTCTAAAATTTCATCCAGTCAGCAAGTAATATGTGGACCAGACTCAAGTGTCTGTGACACCACTGTTCCTGTTGCTCAGACAACTCTTACTCCACCACCAACTACTAAATCAGTCTTAACTGAAGGACCACCGATTGGAAAACAAACAACACTTCCTCCCTGTGGAGCCACCAGTCCATCTAGTCAAGTAACTCCACCAGGTTCAGATGTGACTCTGTCACCTCTACCGACCACCAAATCAGTGACAAGTCCGTCAGGATCAGTTGCACCGTATGGATCTACAGTTCCGTGCAGTCCATCAACAGGACCAGTGCCTGACACAACTTTCACTGCACCACCTACCTCGAAGGGAGTAATTATTTCAGAATGTACAAGTTTGCCATCATCAACAGCTCCTCAATGTGGATCATCTGAATCAAGTAGCACAGGTCCTTCAAGTGCATCGAACTCACCACAGTGCAATACGGAATCACCTTTCACGAAGACCACACTCACTCCGCCCCCATCCACAAAAGTCATCCCTATCAGTGAAATAACATCTGCAACAGGATCACCAGTTCCTTCACCTGGATCTACGGTACCATGTAGTCCAACAACATCTGAACCTGGCACAACACCACCACCAACAAGCAAAGCTGTAACAAGCATACAAGAGACAACACCTCCTCCATGTGGATCTACAGGACCTTGCAGTTCCATTTCAACACCTGCACAAGCCACGACGCCTTGCGGTGGTGACACATCATTTACCAAGACCACACTAACACCACCGCCCACCACCAAGTCCATAATATCAGAAACACCAGCTCCAAGTGGATCAACTGTTCCTTGCAGTTCTGCATCTGGACCGACACCTTCGCCCACCACAAAACAAATTCCCACCACCGAAATTGTAACGTGTAGCATTCCAGAGACAACACCTGGGTCAGTCACAACACCATTCACCAAGACAACTCTGACGCCACCACCAACAACTAAAAATGTTCCTATCACAGTAACGTGTGCACCTCAACCAACACCACCATCATCTGGATCTACAGCTCCATGTAGTCCAACAACAAACGTTGTCCCAGACACAACTCCTTGCGTTGTTACAACCGTGACACCACCACCAAGCAGTAAGAACCCTCCACCTCCAGAAACACCTCCTCCATGTGGGGGTTCTTCAACAAGTCAACCAGGAGCTCCCTGCAGCAGTTCTACAGCTCCAACACCTCCACCTACAACCAAAATCGTTCCCATAGAGACAACAGTTCCACCATGTGGTTCGAGCAGTCCATGCAGTCCTCCAGTTTCTGAACAGACCCCTGCACCAACAACGAAAGTAATCCCAGTTCCCGATGGTGTGACCTGCAGCCCCAGGACTTCACCTGGATCAGGACCAATACCTTGCTCAACGCCACCACCTTCCACCGTGACAACTCTTACTCCTCCATCAAGTACAAAGGTCGTCACAAGCGCAGAAACATGTGCACCTGGAGTTACACCATGCGGCTCCATTACACCTGCACCAGAGGTTCCATGCAGTTCTATAACGCCCGTTACCAAGACAACCCTGACAACTGCTCCAGTTTCTAAAATTAGCACGGTCAGTGAATCGCCAGCACCAGGTGGCTCTACAAGCCCATGCAGTTCACTTTCTCCACCTCCTACTACAAAGATATCTCCACCTTCAACAGTTGTGCCTTGCAACAATCCAGATGTTACGCCATTAATCAAAGACTTGACACCTGCCTGTTCTACACCTTCAATCTCAACAACTGCAAATCCAGTTCCAACCACGAAAGTCATCACTGAAACAACACCGCCAAGTGTGTCTGAATCCACAGTTCCCCCATGTGGATCTACAGGTCCATGTGGTCCAACACCTCCACCATCCAGCCCCACAACACCATTCACTAAGACAACACTGACTCCACCTCCAATCACTAAAGAAATCCCTCCTGTTGTGACAACTTGTGCACCTGGATCAACAACACCTGGAAGTGGTTCTACAGCTCCATGCAGCCCAACAACACAACCCGGATCAGACTCCACACCTTATTCTGGCAGCACAACACCTGCCACCAAGCCACCACTTACGACTCCAATTCCTAAAGTAATTTCCACTGCAGGAATTACGTCTCCATGTGGCTCTGCAATTTCATGCAGTCCCACATCATCAGTTGTACCAACCACCACGTTGTACTCAACAACAAGTATTCCCATTTGCAGCACTCCAGTATCTCCTCCAGTATCAGACACACCTTACTCCACAAATCCACCTCCCACAAAATCAACTCTGACTCCGCCACCAGACAGTAAATTGACTACCGGTATTACGAGCTCTTTACCAACAACAACTCCTCCAAGTGGGTCGACGGAGCCTTGCAGTCCAATATCAACACCTGTACCTGGTTCTACTCCAGGCAGTACGGAAACACCTTTCACGAAAACCACACTTACCCCACCCCCAACGACAAAAGTCATCCCTTCCAGTGAAATAACATGTTCGCCAGGGTCAACAGCCCCTTCATCTGGATCTACAGCACCATGTAGTCCAACAACATCTGGACCTGGAAAAACAACACCTCCACCAACCACGAAAGCTGTAACTAGCGTAAAAGAGACAACACCTCCGCCATGTGGATCTACAGGCCCTTGCAGTTCCATATCAACACCTGGACAAGACACAACGCCTTGCGGTGGTGACACATCATTTACCAAGACCACACTAACGCCACCACCTACCACCAAGTCCATAATATCAGAAACACCAGCTCCATGCGGATCAACCGTTCCTTGCAGTTCTGCATCTGGACCTACGCCATCACCAACCACAAAACAAATTCCAGTGACCGAAATTGTGACGTGTAGCATTCCAGAGACAACACCTGGGTCAGTTACAACACCATTCACCAAGACAACTCTGACGCCACCACCAACAACGAAAAATATTCCTATTACAAAAACGTGTGCACCTCAATCAACACCACCATCATCTGGATCTACAGTTCCATGTAGTCCAACAACAAGCGTTGTCCCAGACACAACTCCTTGCGTTGTTACAACCGTAACACCACCACCAAGCAGTAAGAACCCTCCACCTGCAGAAACACCTCCTCCATGTGGTGGATCTACTACTTGTCAACCAGGAGCTCCCTGCAGCAGTTCTACAGCTCCAACACCTCCACCTACAACCAAAATTGTTCCCATAGAGACAACAGTTCCACCATGTGGATCGAGCAGTCCATGCAGTCCTCCAGTTTCTGAACAGACCCCTGCACCAACAACGAAAGTAATCCCAGTTCCCGATGGTGTGACCTGCAGCCCCGGGACTTCACCTGGATCAGGACCAATTCCTTCCTCAACGCCACCACCTTCCACCGTGACAACTCTTACTCCTCCACCAAGCACAAAGGTCGCCACAAGCGCAGAAACATGTGCACCTGGAGTGACGCCATGTGGCTCTGTTACACCTGCACCAGAGGTTCCATGCAGTTCTATAACGCCCGTTACCAAGACAACCCTGACAACTGCTCCAGTGTCTAAAATTAGCACGGTTAGTGAATCACCAGCACCAGGTGGCTCTACAAGCCCATGCAGTTCACTTACTCCACCACCCACTACAAAGATATCTCCCCCTTCAACAGTTGTGCCTTGCAGCAATCCAGATGTTACGCCTGAGACATCTGCCTGTTCTCCTCCTTCAATCTCAACAACTGCAACCCCAATTCTAACCACAAAGATCATTACTGAAACAGCACCGCCAAGTGTGTCTGAATCCACAGTCCCTCCATGTGGATCTACAGGTCCATGTGGTTCAACACCTCCACCATCCAGCCCCACAACCCCATTCACAAAGACAACGCTGACTCCACCTCCAGTCACTAAAGAAATCCCTCCTGTTGTGACAACTTGTGCAGCTGGATCAACAACACCTGGAAGTGGCCCCACAGCCCCATGCAGCCCAACAACACAACCCGGACCAGACTCCACACCTTATTCTGGCACAACACCTGCCACGAAACCAACCACTAAAGTAATCTCTACCACCGTTGAACCACCTCCATGCAGTTCTTCTCCTTCATGCAGTTCCACGTCTTCAGTCACTCCAACAACGAAGTTAGTCTCCACCACTGGTATTCCAATTTGCAGTAGTCCGGTGACACCACCAGTATCAGATGCAACAACTGCATGCTCAACACCACCACCTTCCCCAACGTCAAATCTGACTCCACCACCAACAACGAAAGTCATACCTACCACCGGTATAACAAGCGCACCACCACCAACATCTCCACCATGTGGACCCTCAGGACCTTGCAGTCCAACATCTGCTCCTGTATCTGACACAACTCCCTCAAGCAAATCCACACCTAAACCATCACCAAGTTGTAATATTATTAACTCGAATAACGTAGTAAGTGAATCAAGCACGTCCATTGTTTCTAGTCAGTCTATAAGTTCATCCAGTCAGCAAGTAATTTGTGGACCAGACTCAGGTGTCTGTGACACCACTGTTCCTGTTGCTCAGACAACTCTTGCTCCACCACCAACTACTAAATCAGTCTTAACTGGAGAACCACCGATTGGAAAACAAACAACACTTCCTCCCTGTGGAGCCACCAGTCCATGTAGTCAAGTAACTCCACCAGGTTCAGACGCGACTCTGTCACCTCCACCGACCACAAAATCAGTGACAAGTCCGTCAGGATCAGTTGCACCTTATGGATCGACAGTTCCGTGCAGCTCATCAACTGGACCAGTGCCTGACACAACTTTGACTCCACCACCAACAAAGGGAGTCATTGTTTCAGAAATTAAAAGTGTACCACTATCAACAGCTCCTCCATGTGGATCATCACAGCCATATACAGGTGCTTCCACTGTGTCTAACACACCACCGTGCAACCCAGAAACACCTTTCACAAAGACAACATTGACGCCACCCCCAACCACAAAAGTCATCCCTGTTACTGATTTAACAAACGCGCCAGGATCAACAGTCCTTCCGTGTGGATCTGCAACATCATTTGGGCCAACGATATCCGCATCTGCAACTATCCCTTGTTCCACGATAGCACCATCACCAACAAGCAAAGCTGTGTCAGGCGTACAAGAGACAACACCTCCACCATGTGGATCTACAGGCCCTTGCAGTTCCATATCCACAGCTGCGCAAGAAACAACTCCATGTAGTGGTGACACATCATTCACCAAGACCACACTAACGGCACCGCCTACCACTAAATCCATAATAGCAGAAACACCAGCTCCATGTGGACCAACCGTTCCATGCAGTTCCGTATCTGGACCTACACCATCACCCACCACAAAACAAATTCCAGTCACTGATATCGTGACGTGTATCAATCCAGAGACAACACCTGGATCAGTCACAACACCTTTCACCAAGACAACTCTGACACCACCACCAACAACGAAAAATGTACCTATCACAGAAACATGTGCACCTCAACCAACACCACCATCTTCTGGATCTACAGTTCCATGTAGTCCAACAACAAGCGTTGTCCCAGATACAACTCCTTCTGTTGTTACAACCGTGACTCCACCACCAAGCAGTAAGAACCCTCCACCTCCAGAAACACCTCCTCCATGTGGGGGTTCTTCTACAAGTCAACCAGGAGCTCCCTGCAGCAGTTCTACAGCTCCAACACCTCCACCTACAACCAAAATCATTCCCATAGAGACAACAGTTCCACCATGTGGTTCGAGCAGTCCATGCAGTCCTCCAGTCTCTGAACAGACCCCTGCACCAACAACGAAAGTAATTCCAGTTCCTGATGGTGTTACCTGCAGCCCAGGGACTTCACCTGGATCAGGACCAATACCTTGCTCAACTCCACTACCTTCAACGTCTGTAACTCCTCCATCAAGCACAAAGGTCGTCTCACCTCCAGAACCATGCGCACCTGGAGTAACACCAAGCGGCTCTGTTACATCTGCATCAGAGTCTCCCTGCAGTTCCACAACGCCCGTTACCAAGACGACCCTGACAACTGCTCCAGTGTCTAAAATAAGCACGGTCAGTGAATCACCAGCACCATCTGGCTCTACAAGCCCATGCAGTCCACTTACTGCACCACCTACTACAAAGAAATCTCCACCTTCAACAGTTGTGCCTTGCAATAATCCAGATGTTACTCCACTAATCAAAGATTTGACACCTGCCTGTTCCACACCTTCAATCTCAACAACTGCAAATCCAGTTCCAACCACGAAGGTCATCACTGAAACAACACCGCCAAGTGTGTCTGACTCCACAGTTCCCCCATGTGGATCTACAGGTCCATGTGGTCCAACACCTCCACCATCCAGCCCCACAACACCATTCACTAAGACAACGCTGACACCACCTCCAGTCACTAAAGAAATCCCTCCTGTTGTGACAACTTGTGCACCTGGATCAACAACACCTGGAAGTGGCCCCACAGCTCCATGCAGCCCGACAACACAACCCGGATCAGACTCCACACCTTGTTCTAGCACAACACCTGCCACGACACCAACCACTAAAGTAATCCCAACCACCGTTGAACCTCCTCCATGCAATTCTTCTCCTTCATGCAGTTCCACATCTTCAGTTACACCAACAACCCAGTTGGTCTCAACCACTGGTATTCCAATTTGCAGCACTCCAGCTTCGCCTCCTGTATCAGATACAACTGTAAGCACAGCACCACCCCCTCCGGCGAAGTCAACTCTGACTCCACCACCAGACAGTATAGCTACCACTGGTGTTACAAGCTCCTTACCAACAACACCTCCACCGTGTGGGCCTTCAGGGCCTTGCAGTCCAACACCAACGCCTGTGCCAGGCACAACTCCATGCAATACGGAAACCCCCTTCACAACAACCAAAGTCACCCCACCCCCATCCACAAAAGTCATCCCTCCTACTGAAATAACAAGTGCGCCAGGATCACCAGTTCCTTCACCTGGATCTACGGTACCATGTAGTCCATCAACATCTGGACCTGGCACAACAGCACCACCAACAACCAAAGCTGTAACAAGCATACAAGAGACAACGCCTCCTCCATGTGGATCTACAGGCCCTTGCAGTTCCATATCAACACCTGCACAAGAAACAACCCCATGCGGTGGTGACACATCATTCACCAAGACCACACTAACGCCACCACCTTCCACTAAGTCCATAGTATCAGAAACACCAGCTCCATGCGGATCAACTATTCCTTGCAGTTCTGCATCTGGACCTACACCATCACCAACCACAAAACAAATTCCAGTGACCGAAATTGTAACGTGTAGCATTCCAGAGACAACACCTGGGTCAGTCACAACACCATTCACCAAGACAACTTTGACACCACCACCAACAACGAAAAACGTTCCTATCACAGAAACGTGTGGACCTCAATCAACACCACCATCATCTGGATCTACAGTTCCATGTAGTCCAACAACAAACGTTGTCCCAGACACAACTCCTTGCATTGTTACAACCGTGACACCACCACCAAGCAGTAAGAACCCTCCACCTCCGGCAACACCTCCTCCATGTGGTGGATCTACTACTTGTCAACCAGGAGCTCCCTGCAGCAGTTCTACAGCTCCAACACCTCCACCTACAACCAAAATCATTCCCATAGAGACAACCGTTCCACCATGTGGTTCGAGCAGTCCGTGCAGTCCTCCAGTTTCTGAACAGACCCCTGCACCAACAACGAAAGTAATCCCAGTTCCCGATGTGGTGACCTGCAGCTCAGGGACTTCACCTGGATCAGGACCAATACCTTGCTCAACGCCACCACCTTCCACCGTGACAACTCTTACTCCTCCACCAAGCACAAAGGTCGCCACAAGCGCAGAAACATGTGCACCTGGAGTGACGCCATGTGGCTCTGTTACACCTGCACCAGAGGTTCCATGCAGTTCTATAACGCCCGTTACCAAGACAACCCTGACAACTGCTCCAGTGTCTAAAATTAGCACGGTCAGTGAATCACCAGCACCAGGTGGCTCTACAAGCCCATGCAGTCCACTTACTCCACCACCCACTACAAAGATATCTCCATCTTCAACAGTTGTTCCTTGCAGCAATCCAGATGTTACTCCACTAATCAAAGACTTGACACCTGCCTGTTCCACACCTTCAATCTCAACAACTGCAAATCCAGTTCCAACCACGAAGGTCATCACTGAAACAACACCGCCAAGTGTGTCTGAATCCACAGTTCCCCCATGTGGATCTACAGGTCCATGTGGTCCAACACCTCCACCTTCCAGCCCCACAACACCATTCACTAAGACAACGCTGACTCCACCTCCAGTCACTAAAGAAATCCCTCCTGTTGTGACAACTTGTGCACCTGGATCAACATCACCTGGAAGTGGTCCTACAGCTCCATGCAGCCCAACAACACAACCCGGACCAGACTCCACACCTTGTTCTGGCAGCACAACACCTGCCACGACACCAACCACTAAAGTAATCTCTACCACCGTTCAATCACCTCCATGCGATTCTTCTCCTTCATGCAGTTCCACATCTTCAGTAACACCAACAACCAAGTTGGTCTCATCCACTGGTATTCCAATTTGCAGCAGTCCAGTAACACCACCAGTATCAGATGCAACAACTGCATGTTCAACACCACCACCTTCCCCAACGTCAAATCTGACTCCACCACCAACAACGAAAGTCATACCTACCACCGGTATAACAAGCGCACCACCACCAACGTCTCCACCATGTGGACCCTCAGGACCTTGCAGTCCAACATCTGCTCCTGTATCAGACACAACTCCTTCAACCAAATCCACACCGAAACAATCACCTAATTCTAATATTATTATCTCCAATAATGTAGTAAGTGAATCAAGCACTTCCATTGTTTCTAGTGAGTCTGTAAGTTCATCCAGTCAGCAAGTAATATGTGGACCAGACTCAAGCGTTTGTGGCACGAATGTCCCTGTTGCTCAGTCAACTCTTGCCCCACCACCAACTACTAAATCAATCTTGATTGGCCAACCATTGATTGCTAAACAAACAACACTTCCTCCCTGTGGAGCCACCAGTCCATGTAGTCAAGTAACTCCACCAGGTTCAGATGTGACTCTGTCACCTCCACCGACCACTAAATCAGTGGCAAGTCCATCAGGAACAGTTGCACCTTCTGGATCTACTGTTCCCTGCAGTCCATCAACAGGACCAGTACCTGACACAACTTTGACTGCACCACCAACTACGAAGGGAGTTATCAGCAAAATTATAGATTCACCACAGACAACAGTGTCACCATTGGTTTCGTCTAATACAGGACCGACATGTGGATCTGACACAACTCCTTGCAGCAGTGACACGTCACTGACTAAGACAACACTAACGCCACCGCCTACCACCAAGTCCATTGTACCAGAAACACCAGCTCCATGTGGATCAACTGTTCCTTGCAGTTCTGCATCTGGACCGACGCCATCACCGACCACAAAACAAATTCCAGTGACCGAAATTGTAACGTGTAGTATTCCAGAGACAACACCTGGGTCAGTTACAACACCTTTCACCAAGACAACTCTGACACCACCACCAACAACTAAAAATGTTCCTATCACAGAAACGTGTGCACCTCAGTCAACACCTCCATCATCTGGATCTACTGTCCCATGCAGCCCCACAACAAACGTTGTCCCAGTTACAACTCCTTGCGTTGTTACAACCGTGACACCACCACCAAGCAGTAAGAACCCTCCACCTCCAGAAACACCTCCTCCATGTGGTGGTTCTTCTACAGGTCAACCAGGAGCTCCATGTAGCAGTTCTACAGCTCCAATACCTCCACCTACAACCAAAATAATTCCCATAGAGACAACCGTTCCACCATGTGGTTCGAGCAGTCCGTGCAGTCCTCCAGTCTCTGAACAAACCCCTGCACCAACAACGAAAGTAATCCCAGTTCCCGATGGTGTTACCTGCAGCCCAGGGACTTCACCTGGATCAGGACCAATACCTTGCTCAACGCCACCACCTTCCACCGTGACAACTCTTACTCCTCCACCAAGCACAAAGGTCGTCCCATCTGCAGAAACATGTGCACCCGGTGTTACACCATGCGGCTCTGTTACACCTGCACCAGAGGTTCCGTGCAGTTCTACAACGCCCGTTACCAAAACAACCCTGACAACTGCTCCAGTGTCTAAAATTAGCACGGTCAGTGAATCACCAGCACCAAGTGGCTCTACAAGCCCATGCAGTTCACTTTCCCCACCTCCTACTACAAAGATATCTCCACCTTCAACAGTTGTTCCTTGCAGCAATCCAGATGTTACTCCACTAATCAAAGACTTGACACCTGCCTGTTCTACTCCTTCAATATCAACAACTGCAACCCCAATTCCAACCACAAAGATCATCACTGAAACGGCACCGCCAAGTGGGGATGAAACGACACCCCCACCATGTGGATCTACAGGTCCATGCGGTTCAACACCTCCACCTGGTACAGGCATAACGACAATCAGCACCTCAACGCCTGTGTCCAAGTCAACACTGACACCACCTCCAGTCACTAAAGAAATCCCTCCTGTTGTGACAACCTGTCCACCTGCATCTACAACGTCTGGGAGTGGCGTCACACCTCCGTACAGTCCAACAACACCATCTGGACCCAATACAACACCTTGCGGAAGTGCAGGACCTGTCACGACACCAATTACTTCGGTCATATTTACCACGACAATCATACCTCCATGCGGTTCTACCATTTCATGCAGTACTGCATCTACAGCCGAGCCAACCACCAAGTTAGTTTCAACTACTGGCGTTCCAATTTGCAGCACTCCTGCAACACCTCCAGTGTCGGATACAACAACAGCATGTACAACGCCAATAACGAAGAGCACCCTCACGCCACCGCCTGTCACAAAAGAGATTCCGACCACAGTTGTACCAACTCCATCTGGTTCGACCATTTCGTGCAGTCCAACATCCTCCATTACACCAACGACAAAGTTAGATTCAACTACAGCTGCTCCAATCTGCAGCACACCCGTACCACCTCCTGTATCAGACACAACAACTGGATTCACCTCATCACCTCCCACGAAGTCAACTCTGACTCCACCACCAGACAGTAAAGCTACCACTGGTGTTACAAGTTCCGTACCAACAACAGCTCCGTCGAGTGGGCCTTCAGGGCCTTGCAGCCCAACACCAACGCCTGTGCCAGGCACAACTCCATGCAATACGGAAACTCCTTTCACAACGACCAAAGTCACCCCACCTCCATCCACAAAAGTCACCCCTATCAGTGAAATAACATCTGCAACTGGATCACCAGTTCCTTCACCTGGATCTACGGTACCCTGTAGTCCAACAACATCTGGACCTGGTACAACACCACCACCAACAACCAAAGCTGTAACAAGCATCCAAGAGACAACGCCTCCTCCATGTGGATCTACAGGACCTTGCAGTTCCATATCAACACCTGCACAAGAAACAACCCCATGCGGTGGTGACACATCATTCACCAAGACCACACTAACGCCACCACCTACCACTAAGTCCATAATATCAGAAACACCAGCACCATCTGGATCAACCATTCCTTGCAGTCCTGTATCTGGACCTACGCCATCACCCACCACAAAACAAATTCCAGTGACTGAAATTGTCACGTGTAGCATTCCAGAGACAACACCTGGAGCAGTCACAACGCCATTCACCAAAACAACGCTGACGCCACCACCAACAACGAAAAACGTTCCTATCACAGAAACGTGTGCACCTCAAACAACACCACCATCATATGGATCTACTGTCCCATGCAGCCCCACAACAAACGTTGTCCCAGATACAACTCCTTGCGTTGTTACAACACCTGCTACCAAGACAACTTTGACACCACCACCTAGCACTAAGAATGTGCCTGAAACAAGTGTAACCTCCATTCCGTGCAGTCCTAACCAAACTCAACCAGGTGTTTCATGTAGTACTTCACAAGCCCCAACACCTTCCCCAACAACCAAAATCACTCCCATTGATACAACGGTTCCACCTTGTGGTGCCAGCAGCCCATGCAGTCCCACAGCTTCTGAGCAGACCCCCGCTCCAACCACAAAGGTGACTGAGAGCACCAGTGCGGTTTCCTGCAATGTCCCCGGAACTTCACCAGGAGCAGAAACAACACCTTTCACAAAGACGACTTCGCCAAGTACAAAAGTATCCGCTGTCACCGAGCTGTCTCCTGCACCGATAACAACCCCCTCATGTGGCTCGACCACACCCGGACCAGACGGTTCATGCAGTTCCACAACAGCGGTCACGAAGACAACGCTGACGACAGAGCCAGCCACTAAAATTAGTCTCGTGAGTGAAACCGTTCCACCAGGTGGCTCTACGATTCCGTGCAGTTCGCAGACTCCACCACCAACTACAAAAATACCTTCTAGTCCAAGCGTAGTCACGTGCAGCAATCCAGAGGTTACGCCACTCATAAAGGACTTGACGCCCGCCTGTTCTACACAATCAATCTCAACGGCACCAACGCCAGTACCAACCACAAAGGCCATCACTGAAACAGCCCTACCGCCCGTTTGGGAAACAACAATTCCATCATGTGGATCTACAGGTCCATGTGGTTCAACACCTCCACCATCCAGCCCCACAACACCATTCACAAAGACAACGCTGACTCCACCTCCGGTCACTAAAGAAATCCCTCCTGTTGTGACAACTTGTTCGCCTGTATCAACAACACCTGGAAGTGGCCCTACAACTCCATGCAGCCCAACAACACAATCCGGACCTGACACGACACCTGGTTCTGGCACAACACCTGCCACGACACCAACCACTAAAGTAATCCCAACCACCGTTGAACCACCTCCATGCAGTTCTTCTCCTTCATGCAGTTCCACATCTGCAGTTACACCAACAACCAAGCTGGTCTCAACTACTGGTATTCCAATTTGCAGCAGTCCGGTGACACCTCCAGTATCAGATACAACAGCTCCATGCATAACACCACCACCTCCAACGGTACCAACTCTGACTCCACCACCACCAACGAAAGCCATAACTACCACGGGTATAACAAGCTCACCACCCACAACGGCTCCACCATGTGGATCAGTACCTTCTAGTCCAACATCTGCACCCGTGACTGGCACAACTCAGTGCAATCCAGAAACTCCTTTCACAACGACCAAACTGACACCTCCACCTTCGACCAAAGTTGACACTACTACAGCACCGCCACCAACCACGACTGCTCCGTCTGGCTCAACAGTGACATGCAGTCCTTCAACGACGCCCGGATCAAGCACCGGACCTTGTAGCACCCTTACACCTCCCCCGACGACAAAGGCAGTCACTTTAACAGAAATAACAAGTATACCACCATCAACACCTCCACCTTGTGGTTCAACAGTTCCATGCAGTTTAACGACAACTGGGGGCCCTGACTCAACTACACCTTTTACAAAGACCACGCTGACACCACCACCGACTACCAAATCCGTCCCAGTCACAGAAATACCAACTCCATGTAGTTCGACTGTTCCCTGCAGTCCCTCCTCTGAGATCACCCCTGTTCCCACAACAAAACAGGTCCAGACAACTGTTATTGTCACGTGTAGCATTCCAGAAACAACACCCGGGCCAGTCACAACTCCATTCACCAAAACAACACTGACACCACCACCAACGACGAAAAACGTTCCTGTCACAGAAACGTGCGCACCTCAGACAACTCCACCATTATCCGGATCTACTGTTCCATGCAGTCCAACAACAAACGTTGTCCCAGACACAACTCCTGGCGTTGTTACAACCGTGACACCACCACCAACCACGAAAGTAATTCCTCCTAAAACAGACATATCTGAGGTAACACCTCCACCATGTGGCTCTACATCATCACAACCAGGAACTCCATGTAGTACAGCAGCTTCTACACCTCCACCTACAACCAAAATAACTCCAGTAGAGACAACTGTTCCATCATCTGGTTCAAGCAGCCCATGCAGTCCTACGGCTTCTGAACAGACTCCTGCTCCAACCACAAAAATAATTAGCACCAGTCTGCCAACTTGCAGTGTTTCGGAATCGACTCCAGGAATAGACACACCTTGCTCAGCGTCAACTATAGCACCAACGACAAAAGAAATCCCTATCACGGAAATCACAGGTTTACCACAGACCACATCTCCCCCGGGTGGATCTTCTGGACTGTATAGCACAGCACCACCGCCTGCATCCGATTCCCCCCAATGCAATACTGAAACGCCTTTCACAAAAACTACACTGACACCTCCCCCGGTCACCAAAGCGTCAGAAACGACAGCTCCTTCCTGCGGATCTACTGTTCCAAGCAGTCAACCAACATCACAGTCTAATGCAATTCCCTGTGGAACCCTCACACCACCACCAACCACAAAAGCAATTGTTGTTACAGAAGCAACGGGGATACCACAAACAACTGCTCCATCATGTCAAACCACTGCAGGCTCGTCATCCACACCTGCACAAGAAACAACTCCATGTGGTGACAACACACCCTTCACGAAGACCACATTAACACCTCCATCTTCCACCAAGTCTGTTGCTGTCATCTCAGAAGTACCAGCTCCATGCGTATCAAACGTTCCTTGCAGTTCTGCATCTGGACCTACGCCATCACCCACCACAAAACAAATTCCAGTGACTGAAATTGTGACGTGTAGCATTCCAGAGACAACACCTGGATCAGTCACAACACCATTCACCAAGACAACGCTGACGCCACCACCAACAACGAAAAACGTTCCTATCACAGAAACGTGTGCACCTCAAACAACACCTCCATCATCTGGATCTACTGTCCCATGCAGCCCCACAACAAACGTTGTCCCAGTTACAACTCCTTGCGTTGTTACAACCGTGACACCACCACCAAGCAGTAAGAACCCTCCACCTCCAGAAACACCTCCTCCATCTGGTGGTTCTTCAACAAGTCAACCAGGAGCTCCCTGCAGCAGTTCTACAGCTCCAACACCTCCACCTACAACCAAAATCATTCCCATAGAGACAACAGTTCCACCATGTGGTTCGAGCAGTCCGTGCAGTCCTCCAGTCTCTGAACAGACCCCTGCACCAACAACGAAAGTAATCCCAGTTCCCGATGGTGTTACCTGCAGCCCTGGAACTTCACCTGCATCAGGATCAACACCTTGCTCAACGCCACCACCTTCCACCAAGACAACTCTTACTCCTCCACCAAGCACAAAGCAAGTGCCCATTACAGAGGTAAGGAGTGTAGCAATAACAACAGCTCCTGCAAGTGGGTCTACAGGCCCATGCAGCCAATCGACAACGTCTGGATCTGATGTCTCTTCGTGCAGCACTACAGTCCCATCATCCAAGACAACTCTGACACCACAACCGACCACCAAAAATATCATTCCAGAATCAACAGGTTCAATTCAATCAACAACGTATGCATGTGTTTTCACGACGCCGGGACCAGAGAGTAGTTCCAGTTCATCAACCCCGATCACCAAAACAACTCTGTCAACAATACCGACCACTAAAGTTGCCCCTGGCCCAGAGGCAACCACCGCTCCTTGTGGGTCTGTGAGTTCATTAAGTCCTATTGCTACATCGGGGATAGACATCACGACTTGCAATCCTGAAACGCCGTTTACCCAGACGACGCTCACGACAGCACCGAGCGCTAAAATTGCATCCAGCACAGCGCCGATAAGTGTGGGTGAAATAACCTCTGCGTGTGGCCCCACAACACCGGGACAAGACATCCTGACATCACCGTCAATCATTGATGTTGTGTCTACACCTGCGTCAGGTGGCTCTTCGGGCCCTTGCAGTCCAACAACACCTGTGTCCATCACAACCGTGAGCAGCACCACGGTGCCCATCACGAAAACGGAACCACCGACAACGAAAGTTGACATCACAACGGGCGTCATTGTAACAATCCCTCCATATGGCTCTACAACTCCTGGCTCTGGTGTCCCTTGTGAATCGACAACAGCCGTTAGCAAGACTACAGTGGTGCCATCCGCAATCAAAGATGTCGTCCCTCCAGCTGAAACAAGTGTAAGTCCATGCAGTTCCACAGTGGTTGGGCCGAACTCGACACCTTGTGGCGTTTCAACATCTACCCCATCGCCAACTACCAAAGGCACTGTCATTTCAGGAGAAACGCCATCGTGTAGCTCTGCAATCCCATGCGGTTCTACATCACCACCCTTGCCACCACCAACTGTAAACATTGTTCCAGTTGATGGCGTTGTAACTTGCAGTGTTACAGAGTCATCACCGGGCTCAGGATCAAATATAATACCACAAGGCACAAACATCATCTCTACCACAGTGCCATGTGGAAGCGAGATTCTCCCTCAAAGTGGCTCAACGGGTCCATATGGTCCAACAACAGCTGGGGCATATTCATCTCTGTGCAGTACCACAACACCTATCACCAAGACCACTCTGACACCACCTCCAGTCACTAAGGAAATCCCTCCCGTTGTAACAACCCCATGTGGTTCCAACATTCCATGCAGTACTACATCACCGGTTACTCCTCCACCAACGACAAAAGTGAACCCGATTACTGGGATTGTAACTTGCAGTCCTCCAGAGACCTCACCAGACACAGGTGTAACGGCATCTGTCACTACACCTCTCACACCACCGCCAAGCACAAAGGTCAGCCCATCTGGCGAAACAGCACCTCCATGTGGGTCGACAAGTCCCAGTGGTTCAACCCTGCCGCCTGGCTCAGTCACGCCAACTTGCAGCATCGCCGAATCAACGGCGCCCACCAAAGTTGCCTTCGCCCCAGGAGCAGTCCCGCCGGGCGATTCATCCAGTGCGTGCAGCGCAACGACATCTTCACCGACACCGCTGCCGACCACGAAGGAAGTTTCAATCACGACCGTAGCTTGCAGCCCTCTGGAGACAACGTCGCCGCTGACCAAGACAACGCTCCCGCCGGCGAACAAAGACACGGCGGACGCAGCCTGCACAACCCCGTCGAGCGCTGCTGTTGTGAGCGAGACTACACCTCCTTCGCGCGGGTCCTCCGTGCCGTGCGGTCCGACCACATCCGGACAAGCCAGCTCTGCCTGCAGCACCACAACGCCTTTCACGAAGACGACTTTAACACCACCGCCGGTCACCAAAATTTCAACAGACAACGCGGCTCCGTGCTCAGCAGGAACAGGCCTCGTGGCTCCGACTGGTCCGACGTGTGGCTCTGTCAGCGAGAGCGGTCCCTCGTCTTCGCCGGCGCAAACAACGCCCGTTGTGGGCTCATCGTCGAGCGGTTCTGCTCCCTGTAGCCCCGTCGATGTCTCCTCCATCAAGGCGGTGGTGAATCAATTGCCGGATGCTCCATGCACGACCACGTGCAGCCCCGCCGAACAGAAGTCTCCCAAGCTCGTGGCGTCCATCGTCTCCAAACTTAAGCCCGAGGCAGTGGGTGAGTTCACTCACAAATTTACCATCCTCCTTACCGAAGCTATACGACTTTTGTTCGTTGGAAATGCATACTCTTTGGTTAACTACTTCGGTAGCTCACACATTGTCGATTCAACAGTTAGGTGTAACACTCGTGCTCATGGTGCATGTGTCATGAGCACTTGTGTAAGGATCAGTTATTATGCATTGTAATTTGTTGACGTCAACCCTAGATCCAGTAATAATCAGGACAACATGCAAATCATAATATTTACAGCTTCAACAAGGGACCTCCTTTGCCAATACCAAAATATGAGAATAGGGTTTCCCCCTTTTATCTGCCAACAAAAGCCTTTTGGCGTCCTCTGGTCTAACACCGTTTGAGACGAGAATCAAAAGAAAGCTGTCTCTGGTATGGACCAATCAGTTTCAAAGACAATGCATATTTTATCAGAATATTTTGTTTGCATTTTGACCACAAGTATTGTGGTTAATGCAGACATGATTAATTGTAAAAGGTTTCAGTTTGGTGTTTTAACAACTTAACACCTGTTTCGTTGCCAGATAAAAGGGGAAAAACCTATTCTAATATTTACAGCTTTTAAAGAGACGCATTCGTCTTTTATAAAACAATGGGTTACCTAACCTATATGAATACATTTTGATTCAAACAACCTGAATTGGAGAGAGGGGTGGCAAGCGGTTAGCACACTGAACAACAAACCATGCGACCTGAGTTAAATTCCCTGCCATGGCTAGCATTTGTGGTGAGAGGAGCGATGTCTGAATTCATCCTGGGGGCCCCTATCACCAATCAATACTCATCAGCATGGTTGACAAATGGCCAGCCGATCCACGTGGAACTTCACCAGGCAGTCGGCAACCTGCGGCTCCGAAGCCACACGCACGCGGCTCTTTTAAGCAACTGCTTTCTGGCGTTGTTCATTCAGGACCACCATCTCCCATTCATATGCATTGCTGCACTTGAAATATTGAGGGGTGTTTTTGTTTTTTTGTTTTACCGAATTGGAAAAATAATGGCTCTTCTTGATATTTCAGCGACCGACGCCCGAACTGCAACAGTGTGCTGAGTGAGGCCTTTATGTAAAAGTGCAATTGAAAAAATGGCCCTACATTTGAATCGAGCTGAGCTGTTTCTTAGACTACCACCCCCCCCCCACCCCAGTGATCGACGCAATGCCATGTTCCCCCGTGCATGGCGGCACAGTGCTGCCCGGAGCGTGCCCGGGACTCTGCGACACGTCTCACTGTCCCGCGCCGTGCCCGGCTGGCACCGTGTGCGATGGCCTCAAGTGCGTGGACCCGGCAGACTGCCCCTGCTTCGTGAGAGGCATCGCTCGCAAGGTGACCAACGGCGCCTTCACTCGGCTTGTCACCTTGCTTGTTCTGTTTGATTTTTGCTTTCTTCCTCTTCTTGACGTAACGGTATCTGTTAACCTTTTCCGGGATAGTAGATGTCCCGATTTTGGTCAGCTAGGTAATAATGCACAATGCGAGCGTGTAGGGGTTTTTTGTTTGTTTTCTCCCTCTTCTGGTATTACGAGATATTATTCTTTCCGTATGTGCTGAGGTGTTTCGCACCGCAGAGGTGGTGGCATCCATAAAGTTCATGCACGGGCGAGTGTTTGGTAAATTTACGTCCGATTTATTGAGAAATTTACTGAATTCTCCGTGAACATTTGTTGGGTAACCATGGCGATGTTTTCGCAGTTTAGTAAAGGTTTTCACTTCGTCCATAGTGGATTTAACAATGTGTTCTTATGCTATGTATATATAAGCATGCATTCATTCCTTATTTAGTAAATTCAGAAAGAGGAATAATGAGTATAATGACATTTACACAGGAAATCCTCAATAAGTCTCAATACTATTATTTAAGGAGGGTCCTGCATTGGGACGTTTGATCAAATATATCGAGAGGGACTGTGATGAGGCTGTTTCACTTTTAACAGCTGTGCCTTGATTAATTAAGGCAATAATTCAATCCACATATCGTATTAAGTTGAAGTCTGACTACATTCCCTTTAAATCTACTGTAATATTACAGTATAATCTAAAAAAGTAATACAAAAAAACACATGGCCAGCAAATTAAGGCTTCAGTAAGAATATAAGTACTGATTGGATTATTGAGCTCAGCCTCTCGTAGACCTTATGTCACTCGATATTGACCCGATCGAAACCCGACATCAGTGACAAGTGGAATGTCAGCCTGTCCTGGACCTTCTGTAGGCTGGCTTTGCCTTCAACGAATACCTTCTTCACTGTGTTCACAGAGGTTAAAAAAGTAATAGGACGGGTGTGCATTGCCGTTCAATCCCATTTCACGAGGCCTTCGCCCAATCAGGCGCTGCTGAAACGTCGTTGTTTCTGTTCCGTTTCGTGTTTCCCGAATGCAGAGCGGTTACATCTGGAAGGAGAATTCTGGCTGCACCACGTGCATGTGTGTTGCTGGGCAGACGCAGTGCGTGGATGAGCAGTGCAGCATCTGCTCCTGTGCTGAGGTTCGTGCGCGGCGGCTCGCACAGCTCAAATGCTCCTGCTGTCAGAAACTACGACAGCATTTTAGTGATGACATTGTCTGCCTCTCTGTCCGCCTGCCTACCGGCCTGTCTGACTACCTGCTTTTGTGCGTGTTAATTTGGTGTTCTTCCCCGCACCTCCGATTAGCACAGTTGGCTACATACGGTGCAAAAAAAGTTCAACAGACATGAACTATTTTTTTTAACTGTAAACTTATTTTTTTATTTTCACAGGTCAGTGTCCACTAAGCTACATAGCTCTTTTTCAGATGCGACTTTTTCACAAATGATAGCCTAATGAAGTGGCTTATCACGTGGAAATTCATAGCAGCCAAATACTCTACATGTACATACATTGGTCTGTCTGCCTGTCTGAATACTTGTCTTTCTCCTTGCTTGTCTGGCTACCTGCCTGTTTCTCCAACTGACTGTCTGGTTGTCTGTCCGCGTCTTCTGTTCACATTAGGGTGAGCACCCGGTGGTTCCAGAGGGCGAGTGCTGCCCAGTGTGCGTGCCTATGCCGTACGCATGCAGGGACCAGCGTGGAAATGAATACAGGGTGAGCTGCTCGATACGTAGTTTTTTCGTTTGTTCACCATGAAGCATCCATCAACATTGGTAGAGATCATGCCCCTCTCTTGTCTGAGTGCTCGATGTGGATAGCGGAGGCCAATCACAGTGAGCAGAAAGCATCACTCAACGAGTGAAATTCATTGCGATGCAAAACATTGCTAGATTCTAACCAGCAAGCCAGGTGTCATAATTAAAGCGCTATCTAATTATTTAAAAAAATGTATTTTCGTGATACAATTATTTCAATTCAATATTCATAATGGTGAAATTTTTTTTTGTTAAACATTCAATTACAATGCGGGGCAACGTTATCACCAGTGGGCAGTGCAGCAAAAATAAGTTGTCTTACTGTACTACGCTCCGACGTCTATGCCAACCGCCTTCACCAGCACACATCGGCCAGCATGGTGAAATATGGTTGACGAACCCCAACGCCCCGCCCGGCCGTGGGTAGGCCCTGCTCCAAAGGTGAACAGATTAAAAGGGGCTGTACATGTACGCGCGTTCATGCGGACCAACGAATTAATGAATGGCTGCTCCTGTCCCCCCACCCCCCGGTTGCTCGTGACCCCGCCGTGCTGTCTTCCGTTTGAATGCCGCGTCGCGCAGCTGGGCGAGGTGTTCACGCTCCCGTACGACACGTGCCAGCAGTGCACCTGCACGGAGGCCGGCCTCTCTTGCTCGATCGTTGTCTGCGCCGACACCAGCAGGCCCTGCTGTGGGACCAACGAGATGCTCGTGCAGGTCAACGTGGGAGCATGCTGCCCCGTATATGAGTGCGGTACGGCTCATCTTTTGTTTCGAACTTGATTTCATGGAAATGCAAAATAGCGGGGGTTTTTTTTAACATTTTGTTTTATTACAATCGACTCGATGCAACTCGGGTCATCGTCGCAAAAGAGGTAACGTTTAGCGTGTCTCAATGGGATTATATTTTCATCTCCTGGCTAAAAAAAAAGGATAGTACTTGAATAATGGATACTAGATCTCACATTAAGAGCATTGGCCCTCACTTTAGAGGATGCAGCAAGGCAAATATATAATTGGCCCTGAATTATTCTCTCCACGGAGTGGTGGTGCATGGGTTTGCACATTGCGCTATGAATCTATCACTTTCATTTTATTCCCGGCCATGGCTATTATCAGTGTCGGGTGAAATCTTAACCAGTTTTGGGTCTCTCTTTCACTACCCCGCACTGACCAGCGTGGTTTTGTATGGTTAAGCGATTCATATATGTGGTATGTAATGAGTTAATGTGAACCATACTGGGATCACTCCATTCCATCACAATGTAGTTATTGAATTGACTTGCAATGCTAAATCACAACAATTGATCATATGCATAAAATATAAATACATCGAGCATTCACGAGTCGGTCACTTCATTAATCAAGAATTGAGTTCAGAGAGAAGTTGGTAGAGACAAGATAAATCCGTGGGTCTCTAAGCGGCAGCGTAGCGGCTAGCGCTACGCTGCGCTACCAACCCGACGACCCGAGTTCGATTCGTCGCTCACGGCTAACACCGGTGACGATTATCTGAACTCGTCCGGGGGCCTCCCCTAGGTCGACTCAGTCTCAAGTGAGTACCTGATGCGGTGTGTAAACATCGCCACTGGAGAGACAAAGGCGGTCGGGAGTGGTGCTGTGGCCACCCACCCGGTCGTGTGCCACGCCGGCCTTCATAGGTGTTCGCTAAACGGCACTTGCCTCTACAGTCGTCTGTTCAGGCTATGTGGGGCATGTTTGCATTCGTCTAACACGGCACTCACTGCTGACTGCGTGCAGTGTGCAACAAGAGCTCCTGCACTGAGGTGAAACCCATGTGCAACGACTACGAAGACCTCGTCGTGACCAACCCTGGCGCCTGCTGCGAGGAATTCGCCTGCCGTGAGTGACAAATGGACACAATCACACACACACGCGCACACACGCACGCACAGACGCGTAATTAATGCTACCACTTATCTTGGGGTTTGACTGGGACAGCTCCGGTTTCTTTAAGGCTGCCCCGGTGTGTTCTGAAGGATGAGAGAAAAAAAAAACAACTAGTGATTTTAACCCGGTTTGACATTTTCTGGCCGAATGCGTGACAAGGCCATGCCTATCTTAGTAGCGGGATGGGTTGGTAAAGCATTTGACAGGGTCTATTAGCAGTAGATAGGAACGGTGTCAAAAAGAGCACCGCCTTTCGCTGTATGGACTGGGGTCGTGATTGAGTGGACATGGCTATGGATGGAGCAGCTACCAGCTCGCCGTGTATCTCAATAAAGCCTCCCAAACAGTCCGGTAGCCTTGCACGCAATAAAGCGATGCCAATGCCTGCTCGTACTGTGAGAAGCTCGGCTCAGTCTGAGTTTACTCGTTTCCGCTGTGTTGCCCCAACAAGTCGTTGACGCTTTGCGGTGGCTATCTGTTGTTTCTTGTTGGTACGCGCTCGCATCCGCAGGCTGCAATCCCAACAAGTGTCCCCTGCCCGCCGTGTGCGCGCTGAACCAGCGTCGCGTGCGCGTCAACAACGACACTGAGTGCTGCGCCGTCTACAAGTGCGAGTGTAAGAGCGGCGTCCTCCACCCGGCAGTCACCCGGCACCCGTGGCGTAGCGTGGTTGACGTGGGGGCCCCTGGCGCAATACATTCCCTCCAAATCCCCCCTAATTTATAAACTAAACTATTTAATAGTTTATCAGGTATGGCTCACTGAGCTACATAGCGTTTTGTCAGGAGTGACCTGTCGACACGTAATGATAGCTCAACGGAGTGGCTTATCGCGTGGAAATTTATATCGGCCAAATACTTTAAACGCATGTTTCTGAATGTGGAGGGAAAAACCGGACGACCCGGAGAGAAATCGACGCGACCACGGGGGGAACATGCAAACTGCAAATATACAGCAGGCGTCAGGGTCGGGATCAAACCCAGGGCCTTCTCTATACCAGGCGAGGTAGTTAACATCTCGCTACCGTGGTGTATTATAGCCTGATGCCTGGGCCCATCCAGCCCACGGGTCCCGATGCAATTGCACCGCCTGTACACTCGATAGCGATGCCACACGGCCCACAAACTCGACTGATAAGTTCAGCCACTGCAATTCTCCTCCCGCCTACAACATTACACGGAGTGCAGCGGCACGCCGATTAACAACAAGTCGTCAGGATCCTGATATGTGCATCGAATCACTTTTGCAAGAATCTGTTTTGCGATTAAAAAAATTATGCTAATGCGGTGAACAAAATTGCATAAACGAGAAATAGTAATATGTGAAATAATACAAACGCAATGGTAAAAATGAGACGAAATTTAATCGATTCTTGAGCAGTGGAAGGGGTTGACGCTAACATTTACTCCCTGTGCTCGTTACAGCCCCAGCTTGTGTGAGCGCTGGACTGACCTATCAGGTGGGTGCACGTATTGAATTATATTTTACTCAATCACAGTAACAAGAATTGTACCAAGCTGCCTTCTTCTCGAGTTCTCCAGCATGACAGCAAGTTCCTGGTTCAGGTTCCCTCCATCCTGTCCGATCTTGCACTTCCTTCATTCAGCGATAAGCATTCCCATTCTTCTCATTATCCAGCACTAGAGGGCTACAGTTCACCACAATGTGACCAAAAACATTTCCATTATTCCACACATCATGACCCCTAATCACGACAATTCATTGCATCTCTTACGAGGTTGGATCGTTCCGTCCAAAATGAACACTATCCACCGCTTAACGAACACATTTGTGGACTCTGTATATCACACGCGTGTGCGTTTGTGTGTGTGTGTGTTTCGTCCTTGCATCGCTCCGTGCTCCCTCGGGTGGTTTGCAGGTCGGAGAGAAGTGGTCGCCCAACCAGGACGTGTGCGTCGTGTGTGAGTGTCGCTGTGACGGCGTGAGTGTCTACGAGTTCTGCACGGCCACGCAGTGCCCCGAAGTCGACCCAGGCTGCCCACTGGTGAGTGCTCATCTGTCTGTACGTCTCTTCGTCCATCTGCTTGTCTGCGTGTGCGTGTGCCAAATATTGGGGAGTGGAAGTGTAGAGGTTAGCGTGCTGTGCTATGAACTCGAGTTCGATTCCCGCTCAGGGCCAACACCAGTGACGATTATCTGAACCGGTCCTGGGCCTCCCCTAGGTCGACTCAACCTCAAATGAGTACCTAGTGCGGTGTCTAATGAACATCGCCACTGGGGGGACAAAGATGGTCGGGCGTGGTGCTGGCCACCCACCCCCTCGTATGCCGTGGCGGCCTTCATAGGTGCTCACGAACAGCACTTGTCCCAACAGTCTGTTAAGGCTATACGGGGGATCTTTGTCAATGTCTTTTTGTGTCAAACTGTCCATTTGCTTGCCTTTCTGTCTATGAATCGGTGTCCCTTTTTGTCCATTTGTCTGTCTGTTCAGTCATCCATCTTTCAGCTTGTGTTCATGTCTTTCCATGTTTGACTCTCAGTCTCTCCATGTGTCTGTTTGTCCATCTGTCCATTTGACCGTCTGTCCATTTCCATGTATTTTCCTTTGTGTCTGTTTGTCTGGCTGTATATCTGTGTGTCCTTGTGTCTTTAAAATGAAAATACTATACACACTTTTGAACAATCTCCGAGCAAACTCTGTATGCGTGATCTCGGGGATAATGTAACCCATAGGCGATGTGAAATGATCGTTGTGTTCTTGTAAAACTCTACATGTCAAGGGGAAATATATTTAAGTGGCACGACCCCATGGGAATCACCCGAAATACCTCTCAAGCCCTGTTCAAGTGTGCATACATTAAATATACAAATATAACATAGAGAATACTGACAGCATCCTATTCCAGTCACCAGTCTGAATATGCTGATATTGCCTGAACACATTTTTCAGGTGGCAGGAACGATTATAGCATGGCTATTCACATTAGCTTGATACTAATTACTATTTCCTTTTTTTAAATCAGGAAAATCCCACTGAGCGATTTGCTCTTTTTCAGAGGTGACCTGGCAACACATGATAGCTCACCGAAGTGACTTATATAATCAACACACGTGGGAATGTAGAATTAATAGCAGCCAAATACAGTCATCTCAGCGCATGCTGCTAAATGTGGAAGGTAAATCTGGAGAACCCGGAGTAAAAGCCATGCGATCACGGGGAGAGAGAGAGAGAGCACGTTAACTCCAAATATGCAGGCATTGTCAGGGTTGGGATCGAACTCACGACCTCCTTCGTGCCAGGCGAGGAAGATAACGTCTGGATATGATGTTACTCGTTACTTGAAACCCGTCTTCTCGTTCGTCTCGTGTCGTGCTGTTGTCGTGTGCAGAATGCAGTGAAGACCACCGCTGACGGCTGCTGCAAGTACTGCGACTACAGTAAGTGATGGCAGCCGTCAGTCCTTGAACCTGAAGCGCACATTGGTGGTTGATGCAATGCACCATGAACCCAGCAATAATCTGACCTTGATTCACATTTATCGGTAATGGGCAGGCACCGTCTTCACAAAGCCCCGCACACATGCACTCAAGCGTTTACGCGCAAACCACGCAATGGCTTTCCTTTGCAAAAGCCCGTTTCTCCCCCCGACCCGACCCTGACCTCACCCCGACCCTGACGCCCCATTTGTGCACCCTGCAGAAGCGGTCGGCTGCAGCGTCAGCTCGGCACCGCAGTTCCTGGAAGCGAACGGCTGCGTGTCGGAGACTCCCGTGAACATGACCCAGTGTGACGGGCAGTGCTCGTCGCAGTCCGTGTACAGTGCCGCGTCCAACGCCTACCAAAAGGAGTGCAGCTGCTGCTCGGCCCTCGAGACGGTGACGCTGACCGCCACGCTGCTGTGCCCCGACGGCTCGCGGGTGCTGCACGCGTACGAGGCGGTGACGCGCTGCGCCTGCATGTCCTCACAGTGCGGGCCCGAAAGCCCCGTGCACTCGGTCGCGTTGATGTAACCACCACCACCACCATCCCCCCCACCCCCCCGAAAAGCATGGTAGAACACGCGGATGCACATTTGTTACTACCTTCCGGATCTCAGCGCGTGATGCCAAGCTGGGCCTGTGTGGAATGATTTGATTGCAAAAATGAATGTGAGGAATTAAATGTCAGGGAATGTTTCGGAAGGCAGCGGTGCAGATTTGAGTTTCAGCGAGTGAATCGTTCTATCGGTATCATGGCATGAGATGAAGGGGGTCCATTTGGAACGCTCGTAAAACAGTGCATCGCCCCCGTATCAGAGAATGGTCCTTTGGAAAGGGATATCGAGACGCTACTTTATCAGTCCACTGCTGGGATTTTGGCAGTTACTGGTTACCAGGCTGCGATCGTTATCTCATCACATTTGAGAACTTCCCCGGCGAGCTGAAATCCGGATTCAAACCCAGGATCTCAGAGTAGGTTGCCCTGAACTCTCTGCCACCTGGCCACCTCCCAGCATGTCATTGAATGTTACAGGTATCACAGTGTCATAGGTAGCACAATGCAGGACTCCAAAGAATATTCGTGTGACTCGGTGAGGCTTTCTTGGGTAAATAATTCGCACCATTACGAGGTGTATGGCACGGTGTGTACACGATGCAATTAATTCCTCCAGGTCCCGCAAGCGTTTTGAGGTCCGGCAGTGATCTGCGTCAGTTCTTTTCGGGAACGTGTGCCTTAAAAACAACAAGCAAATCGACTTGACAAAGAGGCGACGTGATTGGTCGCATAGTGTTTATTAGTTCTCTTATTTTCGTTTGTTTATGATTCTTGCGAATTGTTACAGAGATGGCTTCAGTAAGGAGATTCTACTGACACTGCGCCAAGGTAACTTTGTTTGTGTAACTGATGCCAGTAAACAATGCGAACCTTACATCGAGTGGAGATTCTAGGACACAGTAAATAGGGCGCAATAAGGGTAGGCACCAACTAATATGGAAGTGGGGGGGGGCATTTATAGCCATGTCCTCAATGTAAAACTCTGAGTGGGATGAGATTGAAAGAGCAGACCTTGGATCGTGAGATGTCGACTGTGCAAATGCTTATGGCATCTGGCAGAAAGAAGTGATGGCAAGTGTGTCACGTTTATAGAATATTTGGCTAATGCATTTCCACGTGATGATAAGCCACTTCGTCGAGCTATCGTTTGCGATGGCCAGGTCGCTTCTTAAAAAAAGCTATACAGCTCAGTGGGCCTTACCTGATAAAATAAAAAAGTGTATGGTTGTTGAACTTGAGCGCCTTTCCAGCCACCAGAAGAAGCTGCCTCTGAATAGTTGGCAGCATCTGACATGTGGCAGAGCGGGGGCACTGTTGTTTATTTGAGTAAATGGTCCCCCTAAGACCCCCCACCCAACCACATATTCACCACTGCCGAGACCTAACACGGCATCCATCTTACTGGCATTGAGTCATACGAAAGAGTATTGAGGCTGCAACTGGTGTCAATGTAACTTCTACTGGATCCGAGTTAACGTGTGTGCGCAATGACTGAGGGCGTCTGTTATACATGCCTCACTGAAATTTAATTAGAATGTATTACAGAAAATGAAGTCACGCCTGTACAAATCACGTCCGACTGTCCACAATATAATAATATACACGTGTACTTATAGTTCATGGCTTCAAAATGATTGTTTTAATGACAATGTGGTGAACATTTGAAATGTCTCCTTTGTAGACAAGGTGATTAATAATAAATTGTATCTTATGCAAGCTTTGACGTTTGGTTGTACTTTTTTACCTTGGTGTCGAAACCCCAATTTGTATTTCCAAGTGGTTATAGCAGACACAAACACTTCGTGTGAATGTACGCCCTTGTCAATTTACTGCTGGATGAGAACCACCACACGCCGAGTGGGTTATGAAATTTATTTGACAACAGTGTAGAGTAAAACGCAAACGAAACTTTTTTTTTACCAGCTAAGGCCCACTGAGCTATATAGCTCTTTTTCAGAAGCGATCTTGCCACAAATAATAGCTCAACAAAGTAGCTTATCACGTGGAAATGTATTGCAGCCAAATACTCTAAACGCATGTTGATTCTAAATGTGAAGATAACCAGAAGACCCGGAGAAAAATTCATGCGACCAAAGGAAGAAAGCGACATGCAAACTCCAAACACACAGGCGTCAGGGTCGAGGTCGAACACACAACCTCCTGCATACCAGGAGAAGTAGTTAACATCTCACCACATCACCGGGCTGGTCACTATGTCATAATGGACTGGGGCCAATTCCAACCCCGATTCGAGGTGGCTAAAGTCAGCGTTATCAACTGAAAGTGACCGCTCTGCAGGAGCTTCCCATGTGCTTTGACGACGACGCGCCGAAGACAGGAAAACAGACCCCCCATGTTACAGATGGGTCATCGCTATGGCCCTTCAACAATAGCGGCACTCACCCAAGATTTCCAGACGAGGGCACGACAACCTGAAGAGTCCACGAGGGCGTATTTGGAATGCGTCAAATTAATCAATTATAATTTCCCACTTAACACAAGTAACTGTCAAGTTGAACATATTAGTTTCTCACTCCACGTGAGCAGCTGCGCGATCAGCACACTTCATATAAACAACCACCGAATTATTTTTTTTTCCCTCCTCCACTTAAGACATTGCGCAAATCAAAACGTTGCATTGTCCACTTGACTCACACGAGTGTCCTTATTGCCACTCGGCCCGCGTGCCCGAGCCTTTCACTCTGATTGGTGTAGCCATTGGCTCGACATTCAAAATCCGGCCAATCATGACCTGCTAGTGATGACAAACCGACACCGCGGAGCGTTCTGATTGGTCAGCGATGACGACGATCAGCAAGTATTCTTCATTTATCTTCTTCTTCCACGCGTTGTCCCACTCACGTTGGGGGGGGGGGCGCTGTCCTTGCCAACCTTCACGCTGCCCTGTCCTGCGCCATCTCTCTTCCCACTCCTCGGGCCACCGTATCCCATCGCACCGCATCGCTCCCTCCACGTCGTCTTCTGCTGCCTTCCTCTTGATCTCTTTCATTCCACTTGCATCACTTGCACCTTCTGATCCGCATCGTTTTCCTGTTGTCTCTCCGCATGACCGAACCACACCCAACAGCACTTTCTGTCTCATCTTCTCGGTGATTTCTACCACCTTGAGTCTCCCTTTCACTTCTTCATTTCTCACCCTGTCCTTCCTTGTTAAACCCAACATCCACCGCAATATCCTCATCTCTGTGACTGCCATAGCTTGGTCCCCCACCCCCCTCCTCCTCTTTCTTGTGCCCCAGCACTCGGCCCCATACAACAGCACCGGCCTCACACCACCGTCTTGCACAAGTACTCAATCGTATCCAGTCTTACGAAAAACAACGTTTTTTTATTTTGCTGGCTCATGCGGTGGTGACGTCACCGCGCACGCACGCCTTTATGACATCACGGGCATCGTGTTGGCGCGTGCCGACGTCACGTGCCTCTCCCCCGCCCCGCCCTCCAACCAGGCCGTGTATCCCGCTGAAAAGCGCGGGCAGTGCTCGTTTTAAAAGAAACTAATTATTCGGTGATACAGAATTTGCCTTGGTAGTGGTGCACACGCACAAATACAACAACCACAACAACAAAAAGGCCCTTAAAAAGAAATGTATATATTATAGGCGACTTTTCAAGCAGTGTTATTTACACACGTGTGTTGAGTTTTTGTTAAAATTAAGTGTTTGCTTTAATTGAATAATAACACCGTTTTGCGATAAAGTGTTATTTTGATTTGTTACTGTGCACCGATGGTCCCGTTTAGCCAGCTTCTCGACTATTTCGCACGGGAGATCCGTGGTGTGACAGCCAACATCGCTGAGAACAATTCCAGGGTCCTGAGTGACAGTTGTGTGTGTGTATGTTGAACTTCTTTCGCACCGTACGTAGCCAACCGTGCTAGTCGGAGGTGTGGAAGGACAACAAAGTCATAATACAGAAGCAGCAGCAGCAAACTTCACTGGCCAACGGGGAGAAGTATGGTCAAACTACCTTTGAGTGTCACGGCGTGAGAGTAATCTTCGTGCAGTAGTGGATTGACGGTCTAATATCCACCCACATAGACGACTGCACATCCACCACCCACACAAATGTAAATCATCGTAAACGCCAAGCGTTTTGCTGACTGCATAACATACACTTCAACCAAAAACAATTGTTTGAGATAAAATAGTGAGCAAGGACGCATGCTTATACTGTTTATATTTCTAGCAACTGAACTGCTATAGTGATGATGCCGTGGTGAACTGTAATGGTGAGCATACAGGGCTTGCGATTCAGATGTCAAGGGTTCGATCTCACGGCTCGGCAGTTGAAACAATGGGCACCTGCCCACCCAGAAGTCTCAATGGAGTAGAGAGCAGTGTTCTTCACTCATTTTCAGAGGGAGGTCACTTTCGCAGATAAGATATCATCCGTGTGAGGGCCGCCAACACATTTGAAACCATTGGGTCTGACGGCACAATGACGATGATGACGATGGGGGTGTTGTCACGTGTTGTTGTGTAACTGTCGGGGGCCGCACGTCAGGGGCCGCACTGAAGGCCATCAAGGGCCGCTAGTGGCCCGCGAGGCCTTGCAATGCAGAACACTGGGCTAGATACACCTCAGTAGATCGCGTGACGGTTGAGTAAAGGGGCTCTCTAGAGCGCCCCCGTGTGGAGACCCTTTCGCCAGCAGCGGCATTAACAATTTATTGCAAAATTTTTTGCTTTACGTTTGTGATATATATTAAAAAAAACTTGCTGCGTGTAATCACAACCGGCATTCAGAAAACACCACCCTGTACGCATATGTATGATGAACTTCTTTCGCGCCGTACGCAGCCAACCGCGCTTATCGGAGGTGCGGGGGAAGGACAACAAGCTGCAACGACAGACGACGAATATAATCGTGCCCTCGCCTGATGAATGCACTGAAGGACACGTGTACAAGTTGGCTCTGTGGTGGAGTCCCCATCCAATAGCGTCGCCGATAATGAATTACTCGCTCAGCCATGTGGTCGCGCGCGTATAAACGATTATAGGTCGCGATCAATAGAGAGATACATATCTTACGCGTGACGAGACGTGCATGCCCGTGTTCAGCCGGAAAAGTTCGGGACGCTGTTCCGCGAAATTATATAAGCGCAACAGATTAGCAGGGTCTGCTACGTACGGTGCGAAAGAAATTCAACGTACATATTGGCAAGCCACATCCATCTTGTCTTTGCTCGTCCAAATATGATCGTAAAACGTTTAACAGTATTATTGGAATTTTGGGAGTACACAACTCTTACCTGAAAATATCAGGTAAGAAATTCAACCGTAGTTATAACTGGAGGCGAAACGATTGCATTACTCCGTCGATGCATAGTTACACCAGCATGATAATCAAATGTAATCTATGATACGTCACATGCCTATTCGAGTGTGGCTTAAGAAATATTCCTGTTGCGACTTAGATTCCTGGTCTGGGATCGACTCAGCCATTCATCTCACCAAGGTCGCTACAAATGAGTACCACGTTGAGAGACGTTAACAGTTTTGTCATAGGAAAGTGACATTTTGCAAGGCTGCTTCCACCAACGCCATGTGCGGCAGCGTGTCTCGTCGTCTCCGTCCCCGCGTTTGTCTCTCTCTGTGTCTGCGTCTGTCTCCATTTCTCTCTCGGTACGTCTCTTTCCGTACGTGTCACGATATGTGTGTGTGTGTGTCTCTGCGTAACGGTGTCTCTGTGGCTGTCCTCGTGTCTCCTTAGCGTCTGTGTGTGTCGCCTTAATCCTTGTGTGTCCTCGGCTTTAATGCAGAATATCGCGTGTGACAGCACTTGCCCCAAGTCTGTTCAAGGCTATACGGGGGATCTTTATCTTCGTGTCTCCTCGTCTTGTGTATCTGCGTGTCTCTGTTTTATGTCCATTTGTGTCTCTCGCTCTGTCTCCTCGTCTCAATGTCCCTGTGTCTGCCTCCGTCTCTGTGATGGTGCCCCAAACACAGAGGCCGTGATGTGCGCTCGCAAACTCGCTGGGAGCTCGTTGCGTTGGCGTGGGAGGGAACCGTGAAGGAGGAGAAGTGTCTACGGGCAAGTTTGGGCATCATCACTCATTAAAATTGCCCCTGAATCCTATTGAACCGGCAATGTTCATGACGTGTTCAACCTCCTCACCCTCCCCAACCACCTCGCCACGTCTAATGAATATCCCCTGCAACAATAACAACGCTGCGTTTAAAAAGCAGCGTCCGTGCGTGCGCGTGGTGCGTGGCAGGGGACCGTCGACCAACGCTGTCTGCAGGTAATAATATAATCATATATAGGGTGTCCCAACGTTCCATCATCATCATCATATTGTCATGGGCAAAGATATAATCATCAGATCCGAAATTGTAACGCAGTGCGCCAGCCACATAAACATAACCACAGACATACACACACATAACGTGAGGCAAATGTCCACTGGTTTATTTCGTCGGCTATTTAATGGAATAACGTTTCTGGAAGCGACCCCTTATTCGAAGTTGCTCGAAAGTGTTCATGAAAAACGTCGCAGCGGTGCCTTCATTAATTGGTGCGAGTGCTCGCTGCTGCTACAGCTGCCGCTACAGCTGCTGCTGCTGTGGGTGTCGTTCGTTTTTGTAAAAATTGTTTAAAAAAATAATAATAGAAAAGCGACACCCAGAGCGAGAAGTGCGTGCCTCAGCGCTTCGGTTCGGATAAAACTGCCCGTGGGTTGCCCTCAGCAGTCGGAGGGCGCCCGAGTGAGCCGAGGGGACGCGCGTGAGTTGGGTGAGTCGGGGAGCGAGTCCGTGGGTGGATGCACCAATGCCTCCGCGATGACTTTGTTACGTATATTCTCCACAACGATGCGCATTAATATTTTGTGTAACGTATAACTCTGCCCATATCCTAGAGACAGGGTCATTGCCTTTAGCATCTGGAAGGTACTCCGCATTGATTCAAGTAAGCCTTAATCTGCTGATGTCAAAACCGATCCAGAATTTTATTGTCCAGAATTGAATCAATGCAGTTGGAAGTATTCGCTCCTGGAAGGCTGTCGGGCCGCTGGGTTGTGTACGTAATAGTTATATTTTTTGTTTGTGTGGAGAGACAGATACATGAAGTCGACATTGCCCGTGTATCTAATACATTCAAAACAACCGTTACGTTGCATACGCACGCGCTGTTATTAAGGGCGGCACACACACACACAACCACGCCACGTAAGCGGTGATCGCTAACAGTACTTGTCTCATCAACCGTCTCTGAAAGGCTATACGTGCGGATCTTTTATCGATTATTTATGATGGCGCACGCTTTAGTATTTTGCAAAGGTCGTAATCAGTCCGTGAATTATTTATAAACACCCTTTACGTTAACGTATGCTATTGCCAAAATACAGTTTTGTCATTTCTCGGCAACTGCTTACGAGAGGGGTAATATTTTAGCGCGGTCATCAAATGGGTTGTGGTGAAAAGGGGACTCAGAAATCATAACAAAAAATAGTTTTATCTCTAAACAGTGCTCGCCGTGTTATACAAGGTGGATGCGTTTTCTAGATGTCACATTGCACTTGCCTGTGTTTGTTCATTCATACCGTGTGTTTTTTTTATTCAATCCACAGACCATGAATTGAGAAAGCAAAAACAAAGTTAAACGCGTATTATTTTCACAATCGACAAATACTTGAGGCGCGTTATTGAAAACACCAAGCGAGGAACGGGAAGAGAATGACGTGGGAGTTGCTTTAATTAACTTGCGTGCCCCCCCCCCCCCCCACGTGTTTTTGGAATGTTATGATTCAGAGAAAGTGGCAACAATAATATTAATAATGTGAAGCCTCACTGAGTCTCGAGGTCTATTTTCAGGAGGATCCTGCTGCAATTGGGCTTTTTCGGGGGGGGGGGGGGGGCGGGGGGTCAGTTTCATAATGATGGCTTCATGTGGGATGAAACCGCAGTACCCGGAGAAAATCCACCACCCGTACTAGGGGGGATAACACTCAACGTTCCGCACAGATAGATTCAATCGACAGGCCATGACTCAAACTTTGGAATCCTATCCAAAATTCTTAGGTATATGAACACTTCTTAATGACATATAATATGATTAAGAGTGGACCTGGGGGTGTCATAGATATATACGTGATCTACCGAGCTCTGCCTGCAAAGCACTTTTACAAATCTATGCACGATTTGGAAACGTTTGCCTCTATCGCACAAGGATGGAAGTTTTCCAAATCTGTGCTTGATCCACAAACCCTTTGCTAAAAAGCTCCGAATCATATGCGTGCATAACCACCGCCATGCGCGACAACAGAATGCGACTTTCTCGCTCGCTCGCTCACTCACTCGCTCAGACGAGATCCACTCTTGTTCACGGTCAAACGCCACTCACCACGGCCCGCCCCGGCTGATCTCCCGTGGCGGCGAGGCCACCGAATGGATCGCGGGTGTGAATTAGCGAGTGGTGACGCGGCGTGGGCTACGGTGAGCGGGTTATAGCGAGTGAGGGGTCCCATTGTGGCTCACTCAGAGGCGCGATGAAACCAAACTGACAGGCGGATTCCGACGCGAGCCGTGTTGGGGGATTTGTGCAAGATTAAAGGAAAATGCATGCGCCCGTAAAATTTTGGTGGCACACATTATCATGATCACATCGCCGTGACATTATCATCACACATCATGGCTGGCAGAGTCAGTCGTGTGTTCAGGTCAGCACGGGTTCATCCCGCTCCCCCGTTTGGCTTGGCGGTGGTGCGCGCACTTTTCCATATATTCAATTGACAGCAGTTGTTTTTTTTTAATTAAAATTTTTGCTCGGTGTCTTTCCAATCCAGTTCATTCTGCTGGTGCTGTCGGAGGTCATGTCATGAGATAAAGAATCCATAATAAAAACAATTCTTACAGAGCAGCGCGTCAAATGTATTAAAATAAAGGCTGCGGAAAAGATTTGTTTTGATGACTTCTCCAGAAAAGAAATCAAGTGGCCTTTTTTTTAAACAAAATCGAGGATGAAGTTTCTCACACACTCTGCGACGAGATTGTTTCTCCCATCCAAGTAAAGCTGATGTGTTTATTTATTAGAGCTGGCATTTAGCCAACATTGACAGGAGAGATGAGCCAACACAAAGACAAAGATTCCCCGTATAGCCTGAACAGATGTTTGGGGCAAGTACTGTAAGCGAGTACCTATGAAGACACATGGGCCGGTGGGTGGTCAGCATCACGTCCGGCCGCCTTTGTCTCCCTAATGGCGATGTTTTATACACTGCACCAGGTACCCATTTGAGGCTGAGCCCCAAGACCGGTCCAGATGTTGGTCAATTGTGTTGGCCGTGAACGGGAATCGAACTCGGGTCACCGGGCTCGTAGCGCAGTGCGCTAATCACTACACGACGGCGCCTGAGTTTAATTCCCGACCATGGCCAACATCAGTGGCTAGTGGCATTCGAGCTTGTGCAGAGCTCGCCCTGGTTGAACGCGTCCTTAAATGAGTGCATGGTAGGGTGAATAAACATCAGCACTGGGGACACAAGGACGCTCAGGCGTTCTGCTGGCAAAACCGCCCTCTCGTATGCCGTGCCAGCTTTGATATGTGCTCACTACCAACGCTTGTTCAATAGTTCACCGGACTAAATGTGGTTGGGCTTTATGAAGTGTATTATTTGTCGCGTGTGCGTGTGGACGCCTGTGTAGCATTCGGTGGTGCATATTCTTGTGGTGTGTGTGGGATAACAGACCACGAATAAGATATTTAAGTTAATTTACGGCAAACCTGATACGCATTTTACGCGCGTGTCTGTGCCCATGTTGAACACATTTTCGCTGACAAACACTCACCGCCTTCAAACGCAGGCAAACGCGAAGTCATCGCGGGGGGAAAAAATAAAATGACCAACAGGCGACGCCACCCGCGGGACGATCTACCGGTCCCGGACGAGGAGAAAGGTCGGTTCACGATGGCCAGCAAGCACGGACACGACGGCTCTCACTACCAGACGCTGCCCGTGGCCGCCTCCCACAGGAGATCTGAGCACCAGGGCTTCGCCACTCGACCGCGGGCAACGGAGAAGCGGAGAGAAACTCACGCCTCCGCCTCCTCTCGGGGGGACGTTCACCAGCTGAGGTCGGTCACAGGTCACGGTGCTCACAGGAACTCGGGCTTTGATCCGGGGTGGAACGAGGGTCGCGTGATGGAGCGACTCGTGCTGGACACGAGGTCGTCCAAACCGCACAGGAGATCGAAGGAGCCCGGTAGCAGGCAGACAAGAGGCGCTGACGTGCGAGAGATCTCCAAGAGCGTCGCGGCCGATCAGCGAGAAGGCAGGAGACACGACAGTGAGAAAGTCCGGAGGAGAGAAAAGGAAACGAGTAAAGCGCGTGGCGACGGTGGCAGAAGTAGGTCCGAAGGTAGGAGGTATGTGGAGGATCGCGACACTGAAAGGTGGACGGCGGAGGTGAAACATCGGATGGAGCTGATCCAGGAATACCCGCACAAGTATACAACAGTCGAAGCTACGTCACCCAGACAGATGGATGTCGTTTACCCGGGCGAGGATCTGTATTACAGCTCCTACACCCGGGGCATTGCGCCTGAAGATCTGTACAACGCAACTGGTGATCAGACGGCTCGGGTGAGTGCCCGAGGAGCGAACAACAGGAAGAAGAGCAGCAGACACGCAGCGGCAGAACCGACCAACTACCATCAGCCACGCTGGACGGACGCCTACGGTCCTGCCTACGATTCAACCCAAAAGCACGGCGATGGGAGACGTGCAGACGAGAAAGGACAACTGCATCCGACGCGCGACCTGGAGGCGATCAGAGACGCGAAACCTCCATCGTACGAGACGTTCCAGCAGCTGAAGAACAAGGGTCAGATCCGTTCGGACTATGAACCCGCAAGCCCGACGTCGCACGAACTCCGCGGGGTACGCGAGCTACAGGAAAGAACTGTCGCGTCCCACTCCGCCCGAGCTGAATCCAACCGCCTCCCTCATTACAAGATTCCTCCCATTTATCCCAACTCGCAGCAGACCCCCGAGCAACACCATCGGCAAGTGGAGGAGTATCAGCCATGCGGTGCACCCCCCGGCGTCTGCCCTGCCCGGGCCATTGTCCACCGCAGCAGCCGCAGCGGTGAGGCGATTTTCTGTTTGATTTCTCGTGCAAACGTCGCGACGTCTCTTCACGACGGCACGCGGAGCGAGGATGCGCCCCTCATCAAGGCCCTCCTCAACGACAACGCCGCCGAGTTCGACTCGCGTTCGGGGAGCACCTCGCATCCCCTGGTGCGTGAGCTGCAGAGGACGCTGCGAGCCAGAGGAGGAGGACAGAAGACGATGAGTGACACGGGCCGAGCAGTCCACCAAATGGCGCCGATAGAGGAGTCCCAACAGGAGAAGCGGTCTGCACGGTCTTGGTCCGAGAGCGATGGGAGGAAGATTAATTGCAGCAGAGAAGACAGGTCGGGACATGATTACGGCCCACGAGAAGTGTTATCCTCTAATGATTTCACGCACATTAATGTGCACTCGGCCCGCGAACATGGTGGTGGTTTGTACTCTGAAAGCAGCAGTGCTATTTCAGATGAACGCTACGGAGACAATCACTCGCGACAAGAAGGCTTCCACGACAACGACCATTCATCCGCTGAAGTTTACGAGCATCATCGGGGAGGTAACTGGTGGCGTACAGGAGAGATACGTGACTCGGCGAGAGAAGGACTTTCGAGGACAACGCACAATCGGGACCACTACTTACCCGGCCTCGGCGAGGAGAACGCAAATGCTGCAATGGTTGGCGAGTACAGGTCAAATGTCGCCATGCAGAAACCCCAAGCAGAGCTCGGGCCCAGCTCCAGACGACACGAGGAGGCGTTCGGAAGGCACTTGCTAAGACCAACAGAATGGCACCACCTAGAAGCAATACGTGAGCTCGACGACACCGGCATGAGACAGCAGCAGGGGGATTTTTTGCGCCAGCCAGCACGTGGGGACTTCACCCATCCTCTGGCACAGCAGCAGCTGCAGCAGCAGCAACAGTCAGAGTCAGCCAGACGAACACGAATCGAAGCATCTACACCCTGGAGTGGAAATTCACCCGTACGATGGACGGACACCTTTGACAGAGTGAACGACAGCAGCCGACGTGAGCTTGCGCAGCCAAGCTCATACCCGGATATTGCAATAATCGATGCCAGCGATACGGCAATCACAGCCACATATGTTTCTTCGAAGGATTATGTGTACGACTTGCCGGCGGAAAATTCCGGCAGTTGCGTAGAACGTCACCAGCAGCCCGTGCCTTATTCAGATTCCACAGAGTTCCGAATGCCAATCGTGAATGTCACAGCTAGAGATCACGTTGAAATACTTCAAGATACAGCACGACGTCCAGGGATGTCTATCAGCTCCGTGTGTCAACCTCCAAATGGCTTGCCGTGGCAAGCAGTAGTTGGGGAGATCCAGGGAAGAGTAAAGGAGGTGTTTGGAGGGATCAGCCTAAAGGGAAATGAGGAGGATAAAGAGATTAAGGTAAAAGAGAAGGAGCTGGAGAAATGTCCAAGCCTGAGTGGACTTCTGGTTGAGAGAAGCTCTCTGAAAGAGTCACTTGCAGAGCGGACATCACGCATCCTGGGGATCTCCGTCTCAGAGGAGACTCTCAACGTGCTCAGGAGAGAGATGTTGGCTGGAGCCTCAACCAGCTCTCAAAGCAGCCACGCCAAAGCTGGCGAGGGTGAGGGTCAAGCGGCTGCAGAGGTCAGAGTGAATGAGGTGACGCAGTCTCGAGAGGACAACTCGCCAGCTGGAGAAACGTCAGCGGGTGCGGCCCCAAGAGTCGATGTTCCAGACTTTGACATCTGCGGAAAACACCTCGAGAAAAGTAATGGCGTGAGTGGAAATCCTCCCACGAGTGACCATGTAGATTTTATCCAAACTTGTGAGGATACCTCGGCTGCTGTGGAACAGATCTCCTCCGCGCATGACCATGAGCTGCACGTCGTCTCAGCTGAGACGAATGGTGATCTAGGAGAGGGGAGTAGCGAAGCAGGTGGTATAGGAGCAGAAGGAGGAGTGTCCTCAGGTTCAAAATTCGAGGAGCAGTCAGAGTCTGTACGGTCCAGCTCGCCGCAAGAAGACTGTGTCGCTTCATGCAGCAGTTCCGACTGCTCGACAGATACCGTCATCGTCGTGGCAAAGTCGGGAGAAGAAGCCAGCAGCCATGAAACTTCTTCAGCAGCTGCTGATGTGTATTCAGAGTCAGCAGAAGCAGCATTAGAAACGGAAGTAGCAGTAGAAGAAGCAGCAGCAACAGCAATGACAAATAATGAGCCTCAATATGCCAATGCTAGATCAGGTAAAACTGAGCCACCTCCTCTTCCTCCTTATCCTCCTCCGAAGCGCAAGGTGATGCCAGGAGATGTCCACCAAGGCCAGCCCGACAAGCCTCTGCAACTAGAGCCATCCTCTGCGGAGTTCCCGTGCGCAGATCCTCCTGAGGATTCTTCTACGTGGAGCCAGGAGGACCAGGACAGCTCCTTCTCCTCGGACTGTTCAGGGTCGGCGAGTGGGGACGAGGCAGCGGGCGCGACGACCGATGCCCACGGATGCAGGGCGGAGATCGAGAAGAAGTTTGCCAAAACCAAGACCCTGCGCAGCGGCAAGCGGAGGAAGCTGGGTCGGCAGTGCAAAGCGCAGTGAGGAAACCTACAGGATAGCTCATTAGAGAGCGATTAATCCTACCGGCAGCATGGACAAGAGATCGTTGTGTAAGACCAGTTGCATATAACAGCTCAATTAATTAAAACTAGCTTTGTTCAACCAGGAAAGCCTGAAGGGCCCATCCTCTTTTTTTCCAGGAAGAACCTGCACGGAGATGTTTGGCCAATACAATGAAAGAGTGTTTGGCATGACATAATAATAATAATAACAATAATGTATTCTTGGTTCTTTCGGTAAAGTCACGTAGAAGGGAAACAATAAAATAATAAAACAATAAAGTTCTCACGACGTTTTGACTGCAACACAAGCAATCATCATCAGGTGTGAAAAACCACAGCAAGAAAATTTGATGATGATTGCTTGTGTTGCAGTCGAAACGTCGTGAGAATTTTGTTTTATATTTGTATTATTTTATTGTTTCCCTTCTACGTGACTTTACCGAAAGAACTAAGAATAATAATGTAGTGTATTCAATAATCATAAGCACAATTTATAGCGCGTGCATATTTCACGAAATTGGGCGCGTTGTTTGATCGAGAACTCAGAGGAGCTGAGCCAAAGCTCAAAGACCAACATAAGCCAGCATGAACAGCTGAGAGGCCTGAGCTGCTGCTAGAAGGGAGAAGTTGCTTACATGCAGCGAATGTGCAGTGGGAGAGAGTTCCATTTGTCTGGTGCAGCTACGGAGAAGCGTTGCTCAGCCAGTACGGTTGTGGTTCTGGGTACGATGAGTATATTTTTGGCCGTGATACCGGAGGTTTTCGTTTAGCAGTGGATAGACCGTGGTTCACGGTGGTTAAATGTCACTCATTTGTCAATCCACTGCTGGATGAACGCACGTCACGTCGGCCACTGTGGTTGTTTGGCCATATTTCACCGCGTTGTTAGCGTGGGTTGGTTAAGGGGGTGGGGCTCCAATGGCTCATATAATCACTCAGCACTGTCGTTCGCTGTGGCTTGGAGCCGAACCGAGGTTGCCGAGTTCATAGTGCAGCATGGTAATCACCGCTCCCCGAAAATTGTGAACATAATTGTAAATGCAGTGTAATTGAGTGGACATGTACATGTGTTGGGAGACGTTCAGGGAAGGTGGTTTGTAGGAATGTCACGATCTATAGATTAATAAATTAAATCGATTATTTAAACTCACATGCTTGGAATAATGATTATTGACGAATATTGTATGCAAACGTTACATCAAGGCAAATGCTTCCGACACAACTGAACGATACAATCCAGCGGGCAAAGAGGAGACAAAAGTCGATTTATGATGATAATAATAATACAAATGCTCGGAGATTACGTATTACAAATCATATTTTTTTAAAAATCATGGCAACTTATATAGTGGCTTTCATAAAATATCCAGGCGCTTTAAAGGGTGTGTTCGAGCCGTTTGTCAAACCACTGTTGGACGAAGGCATCCCCATGCCCTGTCGGTCATGGGGGTTGATTGACCATACTTCACCACACTGGTCAGTGCGGGTTGGTAAAGGTTAATAAGAGTGCAGTGCGCTGGCTACTGCGATTGTGTAAATATGCTGACATTCTAAAGACGTTTTACTGGCGATTTATATAAAGTACTGTATTGGTGCACTGAATGAAGTATACATGTACAACGCATTATATAGCATAATATCTATTGTTCACGTTGACAAAAAATAAAATGTTCAAATGACATTGAAAATCACGTGATTTCTCGTTTGAACATGACTACGGAACTAAATCACTATTTTATATGTACAACCTATGTACTGTCCACGCCTATACTTTGTGCTCCGGGCTATCACACGTGTATGCTGGTATAAAGTGTTCGCTAAAAAAAAACTACACTTTAAAATAATAATATAAAGTGGTGACACTGGCCTTGAACGAGAAAAAAATAAACGATGTTTCGGGTAATGGCCCTTTATGTGCAATAAGGCATATTGCCCGAAACGTTGCTTTAAAACCATGGTCAGACTTGCCAATCACTGGAGTGGCGTCACTTTAAGTGTTTTTTTCTTGTTTTAAACCAAGCTTCAAACGTATGTCGAGCAGCCCGGCACGCACAGCCTGGGCGTGCACCGTGTAGTTTACAAGATGCGAGGAAACAGCAGCCAATATCCATGCAGCTGACACAGCTCATTGTCCATATGTATGGAATCCTAGGACGCATGCCACGTATAGAACCAACAAATCATCACTGACCCAACGGCAGAGGAACCTGGCCTCGAACCTCACTCGAAGGCAGTGCACATCAACCAACCGAATCCGCGATGGTGCGGCCACATGCTTCACGAGTTGAGGACGAGGGATGTCACCCCAAAGCGCGACTGTGGCCATGAGTCCCAGACCATGGAGCGCATCGCATCAACCTGCCCACCGAGATCTGTTGCCTAAGGCGCTTCATTTGTCCACTTAGGATCTCAGGAAACGACTCAGTGGATCGCCAAACTAGACATCCCATTATAAGCCTGTCCCGTCATACGAAATAATAGACGTGAGCCGCTTTGTTGACGTTTGTATTTAATAGACCTTTAATTAGGGGGACGTTAACTTATTACCCAGTAAAGATTACACTTTGGGCCAACATTGGCATTTGTTTTAAACCATTGGACCAACATTGGCCCAATGATTCATGTTAACAAGGGTAATGAGCCTGCTATTCGCCCAGTGAATTATAGCAATACAAAAACCATTGAGATATGCATTGTCCTGAAATGTGCAAGTTCTTAATGAACGTTTTAGTGCTTTAATACGGCAATGTTTAAAAGGACGGGCTGTCAATGTATGTTCATTTAAAATATTACATGGAGCGGTGGGCGCAGTAGTTAGCATCTTGTACCGGAAACCGTCCATCGGTTTGATTCCCCTCCACGGATATGAAGGGCGAAGTAATATCTGATTTACTTCACCAACGTGCACTGCCCACCGTGAAGTATGGTCAAAGGGCCCGTCCATAAATGACGTCACGCACCTAGGGGGAGGTCAGACATGTGACGATGTGTGACGAGGGGGGGGAGGGTTTGAGAAATGTGACGTCACATCAAAATGCGCAACTTTAAATAAATATAAACACGTTCTACTTAATTAAATAGAGTTTTTAATCAATGTTTTCTCCTACAACGTCAGAGTGCAGTGCCACATTAAATACGCACTACAATGATAATAGTTTAAAGCGATTTGAAGCATGTTGAATTTTTTTGGAGGGGGAGGGGGCGCAGAGCTTTGTGACGTCATTTGAGGGGGTCTGACTTTTTGTGACGCCGTGTGACGAGGAGGGGGGGGGTCAAAAATTGTCCAAAATCGCGTGACGTCATTTATGGACGGCCCCAAACCACTATCACCGACTCTCTATGGGTAAGCAAGCCTTCATCCAGCAGAGGATTGCCAGCTTGACGAGCGTGAGCGTAATCGATCACATAGATCACCGTCTCCCTCTCTTCGTATGAAGAACAGAAGTATTTCTTACACCATCTCAGCGGCACCCCACGGCCTTGTTGTGAGCGTGCGGTCGATCGCACCGCGTGCCTTGGGGGTGACAGGGCGGACCACGCTGGCGTTCCCCACGTGGCGACTGTACAGCGATTGCGCAATCCCAACCCCGCCGCCTTCAAACGGAGTGTTGTTGGGATGCTGCAATCGCTTTGCGGACGCCAACCTATTCAGGCCGCCAAGGCACCGCGAGGGGGGTTGTTGGTGGCCAACTCCTCTCCCGACCGCCTTTGTCTCCCCCCCCCCCTGCCCCCGCTGCGATGTTTTACTACAACACCGCAGCAGGTGATCATTTGAGGCCGAGTCGACCTGCGGGAGGCCCAGGGGCCGGTTGGGATAATCGTCAAGGGGCCATACATTTAGTAGGTACGCAAAAATCTGTCACAAGTTGACCTCTCCTCCCCTCCCTGTAGGCACGCGGACTTTCTACACCCCCCACCTGCGTACGTACAGCCTGACGCACCCCCCCTCCCCCGCCGAATCCTATAGAACGGCCGATATTTAATCCACGCAGAAACGATCAAGGATTAAAAATATTAACGTGTTTAAACAGAGAGTACATCGACTATCTAACTCATTGGCCAATGTAGACAAATTATTATCCAGGCTTCACCCCCCTCCCCCGTTTCCTATGCGTACATTGCCAGTAGACCCCCCCCCCCATACGCAAGCGTACGCATTTGGGTTAACCCCCCCCCCCTGCATGCGTACGGACTAAGCGGATGGCGCCCCCACGGGGATCGGCCGCGAGCGGGGGGAATCGAACCCGGAACGTCGGGCCCGCAACACGCGAGCGCGCTCCCTCTCTCCCTCCCTCACAACACGACTGCGCATGCGCGCGAGGCGAAAGCGGTGGCTGGTGACGTCACCACCTCCACGCGTTTCTCGACGACGCGCAACCAGCGCACGCGCGCGCGTCCCGCGTGGCGTGTGATGTCACAACGACCAATCAGAGCGCGCGCGTGCGACGAGAGCCGGGAGGCGGCGGACGCAGAAGGTAAACCAATCAGAGCGCGCGCTTGCGAGTAGGGGCGGGAACTAGGCCCCGGGGCACGTGACGCGTCACTCGCCACGCGTTCGTCTCCAGCAGCGCGCGGGGCGGTTGTTGGGTCGAGGGGGGAGGCCAATGGGGGCGGTGGCGTGGCCGGGGCCTAGTGATGACGTCCGGCCGATATCACCAATGGGACGCTCGCGACGGGCGGGGTGGGGCGGGGCTTGGCGTGGCCGCGGTGACGCGGGCGCATTGCGCAATCGCTCGCGCCGCCCCCCGCCAATGCGCATGCGCGGCGACGTGGAGCCGGCCTTTAAACGCGACGTATTTGACGGCGAGCGGTGAAGTTTTTTTTCCTCACGACTTCTTCTCCACCTCCTCGTCCTCGTCCCTGCGCTCGGCGAGCCAATTACGGGCGCTTCGAGAATAACCCGCCGCGCTCCAGTCAGCGCGACACTCGGTCTGGTGCGACGCGAGGAGGTGTCCAAAGGGGGCGAGCAACGTCAAGCGGAGCGATTCGTTGTCATTGGAAGTCGGTAAGGAAGGGGGGGGGAGCGAGGAAGCCTCGGGCCTAGTGCGGCAGTCTCGTTGCGAGACGACTGCAACGGGAACGATAATTATAATCACATTTATAATGTGGGGCTCCCTGTCAGTCAACTGCTGGGGGAAGTCCCCCACCCCACGCCATGTCAGTCATGGGGGTTGTTGACCATACTTAACCAGTGCGGATGTGTGAAGAGGGCGGCGAGAGAGAGGGGGGAGGGGTGCAAG